TTGTAGATGATAAATTACAAAGAAAAGAAGAAGATAGTAGCGCTGAAAAGTCAGAGACTACACAAATATATGTGAAAGGGGTTTGAACAATGAGATTCTTCTGAAGCAGAACCAGCACATGATAAACAAGAACCAGAGAGTTCTGAAGCTCCAACAACTTGTCAACCAGATCGTGTGAGAAGACGTCCCAATTGACATTCAGATAATGTTATAGAAGGAAATATTGCATACTGCCTTTTAACAAAGGACAGTGAGCCATCAACATTCCAGGAGGTAATAAACAACTCAGATGTTTCATTATGGATGATGGCAATGCAAGAAGAAATTGAATCCCTTCATAAAAATAATACATGGGACCTCGTGCCACTACCACAAGGAAGGAAGCCAATTGGTAACAAATGGGTCTTAAAAATCAAGCGAAATGGTGACGATCAAGTGGAGAGGTATCGTGCAAGACTGGTGGTCAAAGAATATGCTAAAAAAGAATGTATTGATTTCAATGAAATCTTTTTTCTTGTGGTTCGACTAATAATAATTCGAGTAGTTTTGACAATGTGTGCTACATTGAACTTACATCTAGAGCAGCTAGATGTTAAAACCACTTTTCTTCATGGAAATCTTGAAGAAGAGATTTATATGCTCCGATCTAAAGGTTTTGAAGAAAAAGAAAAGAAGAATTTGGTTTACAGGTTGAAAAATCTATGTATAGTCTAAAGCAGGCGCCGAGGTGTTGGTATGAGAGATTTGATTCCTTCATTATATGCCTTGGATACAACATACTTAATGCAAACCATTGTGCTTATTTCAAGAGGGTTGGTGATAACGATTTTGTTATATTGTTGTTGTATGTGGATGACATGTTGGTTGCAGGACCCAACAAAGATTATATTGAAGAATTGAAGGCACAACTGGCTAGAGAATTTGAAATGAAGGACTTGAGATCATCAAACAAGATTCTAGGGATGTAAATTCACCGAGACAGAAGTAGTAGGAATATTTTTCTTTCATAAAAGAATTACTTGAAGAAGATCTTGTCAATATTCAACATGCAAGATTGTAAGTCAATTTCTACCCCTCTTCCTATTAACTTCAAATTATCCTCCAGTATGAGTCCTAGCAGTGAAGAAGAGAGGATGAAGATGTCTCGAGTGTCGTATGCATTGGCAATGGGAAGTTTAATGTTCTATATGATATGCAAAAGACTAGACATTGCACAAGCGGTGGGAGTGGTTAGTCGATACATGGCGAATCCAGACAAAGAGCATTGGAATACAGTAAATAGGATCCTGAGATACATCAAAGGGACCTCAAATGTTGCATTATGTTACAGAGGATCAAACTTACTTATCAATGGGTATGTCGATTCTGACTATGCAGGGGATTTGGATAAAAGCAAATATACTACATGATATGTGTTCAAAATTGTTGGTGGAGCTGTAAGCTGGGTTTCAAAATTGTAGTCAGTTGTGGCTACATCCACAACAGAGGCAGAATATGTAGCAGCTACACAAGCCAGTAAAGAAGCAATTTGGTTGAAGATATTATTGGAGGAGCTTAGGCACAATCAAGAGTACGTCTCTCTGTTTTGTGACAGTCAAAGCGCCTTACATCTAGCAAGGAATCCAACATTTCATTCAAGGACAAAGCGCATACGAGTTCAATACCATTTCATTCGTGAAAAGGTGGAAGAAGGAACGGTAGATATGCAGAAAATCCATACCAAAGACAACATAGCAGATTTCATGACGAAGGCGGTAAATGTTGATAAATTTACTTGGTGTCGATCCTCTTGTGGTCTGTCAGAAACGTAAGCAACATGAAGGTACAAGGTAGAAAGAATGGTGTGAAGATATGATTGTTCCAATCAAATCTTCAAGTGGAAGATTGTTGAAAGTCAAAAATTTTGGCAACATGGGCGGCTGATTTAAGTAAAAAAATATTGGCAACATGGGCGGTTGATTTTGGTGCAAAATTAGCAGCAATTGTTGAAAAATTAAATGGGATAATTACACATTTAGTCTCTAAACTTTAGGATATTTACAAGATTAGTCCTTAAGCTTCAACTATAAATACCCTAACTCATTTAGCTTCAAAATCATCCCAAATCATTCTAGCTTTATCCCAATACTAGAGAATTTATAGAGTTTTCTTGAGAGTTGTTTTCTCCTTTTTATCAAGAGAGAGTTGTTATTGTTTTCTCCTTGTTAGATCGAGAGAAGTTGTAATTCCTATTTTCTCATAGTAAAATTCTTCTATCTTTGCCCGTAGTTTTTACACTATATTATTTATGGGTTTTCCACGTAAAATTTGTGTCTTCTTTATCTTCATTTTTGTTTTCTCAAATTATCATTTGCGATTTTACTCTATCTGATAGCCGTATTCCTCAACAGTTGTTACTGTTGCAATATTACATCCGCAATTTAGTATTATGATCGTGCATGTAATATTGAAGCAGCTTAGCAGGGTGAGCGGTGACTTTACAAGAACAGCTGCTTAACTTGGTCGATTATTTTAGTCGTGGTTTTCTTCTATAATCCAGATGTTTAGGAACCAGGTTGTCTTTTTTAGCATTCCAAGTCTTCTGATCATAACTATTTCTACTGCTATTACATGAACTTCACTGTTTTCTTTTTTATTGGAAACATCATTATTCTTTTTTTATGGATGTTTTATGTGAATCATAGATGTAACGTGGGTGTTTTCTTGTTCCATAAATGCATGCAGGCACGTAGACAATTTATTAGAATATGTCATCATTGTTTTTAGAAAAAAAATAATTTAGTTTTATATAATTTATGCCTATATGATTACGAGTGAGTATTCAATCGAGCTTAATAAAAAAATTAAATTATTTAAGTTAACGACTTATATTTTATCATTCAAAATATATTTGAAATTTTTACAGAGTATAAAATTTGAGTCGAGTTGTTCGAGTTTCTATATAAATTTAGTTGTAATTATTTATAATATTATGATACAAGTGGTTCCAATTTATCAATTTTCTCTAAGCATATAATTATATATATATATTCATGTTCTTTTTCACATTGTAATACTATTTATTAAACAAATACAATATAAAATTATAAAGGAGTCAAGAAATTGATTGGAAGAAAGTATTTATAAAAAACGATAGTTAGAAGATCAAATTGAATAAAATGAAAAGTGAAGGGACTAAATTGTTATAAATGCTTGAATCCATGACCCATGTTTTCATATAATTTGGAAAACATTTTTAACAATTTACATTGCTTCAGTGTTTTAGCATTACTAAATGCTTATGAGTTCCATTTGTGAGACATAGAGGAACCGGTGGTGCAGATTCGGAAAGAAATAGTATTGAAGATGGAATTTGTATTGTGAATATCTTGGGTTTCTTTCATCTCCAAAGCAATCAAGGAGTTTGGGGTTTTGGTATTAAGGGGTGAGAGTAGTTTGATTAAATTAAGGAGGATCCAACAACCCAGGCTTGGTGTAGTGGTTGTACTTGTAACCGTCTCAAGGCTCAAAACCTCCTTTCTCCCTTTGCTTCCTAATATGCACCTAAAGAAATTGAGCTGAGTTCCAACATTTATATGCAATGATGCTCTGTGTACGTTTGTGTTCCAATTTTCAGTTAACCCTACTCACCTTTCCATTTGTATTTAAACTTGTTTTTTTTCTAAATGAAGGGCCTGTTTGGGCTGGTTTGCCTATGATCCTCAGTTTTATGACATAAACAATATGAATTTTGCACAGAGCGAGGCTCAAGCTGTTCAGTACGTATGGTTTCTGTTCCTATGTCAATTTTGATTCTAGGTGCTGAGCAATACAAGCCAATTTGAGCATGATATATCCTTGGTGCTAGAAGTGATTAATCAGCACTTCCTACATGAGTGGAATTAACCATCATTGCATACAGCAGCATTGTGTATTTATCAGCATTTGGTCTAAAACTGACTTTCTATTCCTTGTTCCCAAACACAACCTAAATGATATGAATCTGGTTAGCAATGTGTAATTTGATATATGTTTCAAAAACGATCAGGAACTTGAGTTGTTGGATACACAAGTGTTTCATCATGGGGTTGAAGGTTGGGGTTATCCTGCTTGTCCCTAATGGCCTGGATTGTAGACCCCAATTACCTTGTTGCTTACAGTCTCCTACTTTATTTTTTTTTTCATTTTTCTTAAGTTCGGCATTAATGATTGTTCCTTTTTGCAGAGGTTAGAAGGATATTTGGTTAGAGCAACTAAAAAAAGTGACATGTTTGCACATATTTTAATATGGCATCTCCAGGTGTGAAAAAAATTATAAACTTAAGGAGATAGTTCCCTTTTTAAAGAGAGCTTGTGACCATCTTCACTTTTCGTTACATCAGTTTATTATCACCTGAGCCTTAATTTGTGATTGCAGGGCGAGGAACTTGAAGAGGGGTCATAGGCAGAAATATTAGCAGGACCGCCCAATGAAAGGGTTTGTCCATCTCAGACTTCTCTTTCTCTTGAAAGCATGTTGGAACTTGCTTTAATGCCTTGAAAAAATGGCTGGCTTGTGGCACATCGGTGGGCAGATTGCTACACAAATCTGCTTGTTAGGGGTATTAAACTTGATAGTGGAATACCATTACAATGGGCGGCAAAAGTTCCTATGATGATCACATTCTATGTCATTGATCGGGATGGTGAGGAGAATGACGTAAAGTCTCAGGCTTGTATTTTCAAGGTAAACTGTATGAGTTGTTCAAATTGACTTCCCAAATTTCATCTTCTACCATTAAGTTATAGAAACCTAAAGCCCTATTAAATTCTTTGTCCACCCTTCTGGGGTTGCTATGTTACTAATTCTGCAGAGCCGGATACGCTGTGAGCATCCTCCAGCACGGGAAGACACAAACCCCAACTCTCTTTCTTATTGTTAAATGATCCAAGCTAAAGCCAGTTGGTGATAAACGGAGGTCTCAACTTGAATATAAGATGTTCCTTCTCTCCAAGTCATAGCTCAACTAAGAGACATATCCAGAGAGAGTTGAGTAGCATTTGTGCATGTGCCGTGTTGCCGGAAAAGATCTCGACGACCATTCCTAATGTACTGTAATGAAGTCTTGACTGAATGAGTTGTAGTTTTTCTCCCTTGGTGTAGGTCGTGCCTAACACGCGAAGCAGAAGCCAAATGGGTGAAACAACTGATGGTGGTCTGCATGAGATTTTTCAACATGATTTTGGACCCGTTGGCTCTCCTAGCTTTGAAGCTGCTCGCAGTTCTGGGAGGCTTGTTCATATTGATTTTGGTTTCATCTTTGAAATATCACATGGTGGAAAGAGAGTGCACATTTCAAGTTGAGCCACGAGATGACTCAATTACTCGATCCATCCGGAATTATGAAAAGTGAAACATGGGATCACTTTGCAAGGTAAATTACTTCTATGCATATGATTCTTATCCCCTCTTTTATTTAGGTATTATGTTAAAATTAACCCCCATATTTGTCAAAATAGTCATTTCCGTTCCTAATTTTTTTAATAGATTAGCTCTCAATATTTCATTTTTTTTAATTGAAATAATCTATGTGGGATGGAAATCACAAATTGAATAACGATCAACAAATGTTGTTGTCGTGATGTTTTCACATGCGATTAATTATACAAACTGGGACGGAGCCAGGATTAAATATTAGTAGAGGTCGAAATATTGAATTTTTTAAGAAAAATATAATGACTTATTATGTATTTAAACTCAAAATTCTGAAGACAATGCCTATTTGTCTAATATTTAAACTTGCAATCACCTAAATTATTATTAAACTAAAAGGGTTGACAATCTTTAGTTTGGTTCTTACTTAATTAAATATTTAATAAATCATTTTATTTTTAATTGAATATTTATATTTACATAAACCAAAATAATAATAGACCAAAATTTATTGAATATAATAAATTGTTATAGGGGTCGGGCCCTTTTGGTCCTAAGGGAGCTTCATCCCTTATAACATATACTACATCATCACTTTAGTTGATACGATGCATGTCGCGTAATCACTTTAGGTGATATGACGTATATCATGTTATCTCCTTCGATGACGTGACACATATTATATCATCAATTAAGTACATGTGAAAATATTACATTAGTGAAATATGTTGATTGTTAGTCAATTAGCGGTTTCTATCTATAAAAACTATTTTAACTAAAAACTAAAATGTTAAGGACTAAAATACAAAAAGAAAATTAAAATAATTATTTTTGACAAAAATTAGAGACTAATTTTAACATCGTGCCCTTTTATCTATCACTCACGTCAATATGAATTTCGAGTTTGTTTGTGAAAACGCCTGAGCAGTTTGTGTATAAAGGGATACCTCGCCTCCCGTCGATACACGAACGGGATAATCAACACGGTGTTGCTAATGCTCGACAGTGGATTGCTATGCTTCAGCAGGGGCGATCCCACGGGGAATCTTCGCAAGAGATTTCATCCCGAGATGTCGGAGCAGGAGGCTGCCAATTTCATGAAAAGTGTGTGCGTAGATGCCTGCAATAAGTGGACCACTGCTGGCCATGACCTTATACAGTATCTACAGCAAGGTATTGAGAAGTAGAATGGTAAAAGTAAAACTTTACCGCTGACACTGATAATAACAATAATATTAATGGAGTTAATGTTGAATTAGCATAATAAAATAATATCTACATATACATAACAAGAGATTTGAAGACTAATTCATAGGCTCCATAGTATTAATTTATTAATTAATTAATTTATTTATTTTAATTAATCTGAGATGATTATAATATAATATATGTTCGAAAGACTCAATCATTTGAAAATGAATGTTTAAACACTCATACAGGCATTGTACTCTTATCTAAAATTTAAAAAAAATAACAATCATGCCTTTAATCATAAATGTCGCTCGATATGTGCTACTACTTATTAAAAAATTTATACAAAGCTAGAAAACGTACAATTTGTTTTACATGTGATCTCTTCACTCGACATGTATTAGGCTTATTATATATATAAAAATTTATTGATGTACTTAAGAACATTTATGTATTATATTATTTTATGTTGATTTTTGCATATATTATCAATTTTCTAAAATTGTTTTTTTTATTTTTTGTGTATTATAAATTTTAATTGTAATTTTCTATTTAAATATATTTGATCGTTTGTCCACGTTCAACTGCTCTAGTTGATTATCCCTTTGGTTTTCTTAAAATAAAATTTATTTGATTAATTAAATCTTAAACTATACATTTTATTTCTTTTATACCATGTACGTTAACAAATTATATTATATATTTTATTAATTAAGATGCACCATATTAATATTCAACTAATTATATTTTTAAAAACAACTAATTATCATCGAAGATTTTATATTTTAATTCTAAAAAAATATAAAAATAATTATTAAATATAAAGAACCTAGTTAGTTTACGGAAAATCATTAAATTTAAATAATTAATTTTATTCTAATTTCACACAATTTTACTAGCTAAATAAAACTTTTTAAAAAGAAAAATAATCTGATTTGAAGAATTTGCTGTATCCTAACCATAAACATTTGAAGATATAAAAAAAATATCATTACTCATCTTTCATAACATTTTGAAAATTCAAAAAAAAAGCTAACATCATCCAATCTACTATTTATATTTTTATCTCTTATATGTATTGTCCTCTTATACACTCATTTTTTTACATTACTCTATTAATTTAAAGGTTGAATTTTATTGTTTATCACTCTTATATCTTATGAAATCATGACAAGAAAAAGAAACAATATTCATGATTGTGATGAAAAATATGAACATATTTCGAAGAAGTTTGAAGAATTCAATGAAGAAGAAGAATATTTATTAGAATTAATTTTATGTAATGGGTCATTTAGGAATGCAGAGCCACTGTCAAAACAGTCTCCTACTCCGCCTTCAGTTTTACCACTACAGTCTTCCTCTTCTTCTCCTCATATAGGCAGGCATTTTGCATCCCAATCTTCGTCCTCGGCCCCTCTCTTTTATCTCTGACAGCGACTGAAATCGTCCCTATCTTGGCATATCAAGTACTGGCACTGGCATTACCTGTGCCCTACGTACATGGAGGAACCCTACACAAGCTCCACGAGAAGGAAAAAACGAGACGATAAACCCTCCATTTCCATGGGCCACTGAGTATCTAGCCACGGTTCAAACCCTCAGCCATTTGTTGTCCCAAGACATCTTCACCGTCGCCGATGAGGTTCAATGCAAGAGGTGCGAGAGAAAGTTCGAGATTGCTTATGATTTGGAACAAAAGTTCAATGAATTTGAGACCTTCATAGCGTAAAACAGGAACTCCATCAGGAGTTATGAAAAGTGAAACATGGAACCACTTTATAAGGTAAATTACTTCTATGCGTATGATTCTTCTCCCTATTTTATCTAGATATAATGTTAAAATTAGCCTTTAAAGTTTGTCAAAATAATCATTTTCGTCCCCTTTTTATTAATATATTAGCCCTCAATTTTTCATTTTGTTTATATTAAAATAATCCATATGGGATGAAAACCACTAAATAAGTAACAACCACTGTAGATTGTTGTTTTTATGTTTCCACATATAATTAATTATTGACATAACATATGTAACATAATTATTTTAGTTGATATGATACATATTATGTGATCACTTTAGATGATATAATATATATCATGTCAAATAATGACACATGTCATGTCATCAGTTAAGTATATGTAAAAATATTACGATATCAAAATATGTAGATTGTTAGTCAACTAACAATTTTCATCAAGACTATTTTGACTAAAAATTAAAACGTTAAGGGTTAAAATATACAAAAAGAAAAAAAGAAAAATATAATTTAAAATAATTATTTTTTACCTAAATTAGGGACTAATTTTAACATAATTCCCTTTTATCTACCACCCTCGTCAATATGAATTTCGAGTTTGTTTGTGAAAATGTATGCGCGGCTTGTCTAAAAAAATATAATATATGAAATTATGAATACATAGGTCCAAAAAGAATATAATATTATATTTTGAAATAATTATATTAAAATTCTTTGTTAATATTATCGCTCTGTCTTGAATATAATATCATTTGGTAAAAGAAATTGTCTCTGTATTTTTCCCAATTATTGGAATTTCCTCAAATAAAGGTATGCCTCAAAATATATCCGACAATAATTTACTTATTAATCTATTAATTTAAATAGAATATTATAAAATTTATTATGTTTTTTCTCAATTCAGTTTTTTAATTTATAACATTAAAATTAAAAATATTTAAATTTTATTTAAAAAATTTAATGTTTCATTTCATAAAATTAACAATTATATTAATTTTGAATATGTTTAAATTTATTTATTTTTTCTCAAAATCACATCCTTACATTTCCCATCCCAAACTTCGTTTCCACGGGGATATTCTTATGAAAAAGGAAAATTAAAAATAATTTAGAAAAAAAAACTATTTTCCCCCACCTCCTAATCTAAAGCTTAACGACGTTTGTATTTACGAAACTACCCCTTACATAGTAACAGTGTTCCCTAGCTGAATCTGACCGTTACTCGTTCCATCATCACCGTTAACATCCTTCGTCTTTTTCTTCATCTCCTCCAGCTTCCTAGCCTCTTTCCTCCACCCAATAAATTTACCAAAGAGCCCTTCCATTTCCTCCAACGTTTTACCCTGCGTCTCCGGATAACACGTGTAGAAAAACAACGTCGCCGCCGTCGAAATCCCGGCGAACAAGAAGAACACACCGCCGATCGATATCGCATTGTACAACGATATGAACGACATGGATATCACACCGCTGGTCACCCTGTTAACCGCCACTCCGATACTTGCTCCCTGCGCGCGTAGCCTCAACGGGAAGATCTCCGAGCTGTAAACCCACGTGATCGGCCCCATACCTATGGAGAACATCGCCACGTAGGCCAAAACCATCGTGATGCATAAACCAATTGCCCATGTGACTTTCTTGTCGGAATGACTGATTACGGTTAACGAGAATCCGAGCGTTGTCAGTGACGCCACCATGCCGATTATGCTACTGAGGAGCAACGGTCGCCGTCCGATTCTGTCGAGTAAAAACGTGGCTACCAAAATGAAGATCGTTTTCACGAATCCGACGGCTACGGTGGCGAGTAGCTTCTGGTCGGAAGAAGTGATCCCCACTTTCTCGAAGATCCTTGGACTGTATAAAACGACGGCGTCTATGCCGGAAGCTTGCTGGAAGAAATGAATCCCTATGCCGCAAATTAAGACGTGGCGAACGGCGGGTGTGGGGTATAAAAGTAATTCTTTCCACACGCCTTCGCCGTGGGATTGTTTTTGGATCTGAACGACGTCGTCGGTGCAGTCTTGTGGGATTCCGGCTGCTTGTTTGATGTCACTGAGTCTAAGCTCGGCTTCTTCAATGGTGTCCGATGTCTTGTCGAGGACTTTCTTGGCTTCACCGAGTCGGCCTTGCATAACGAGCCAACGCGGCGACTCGGGCATCGCTAAAACGCCGACGGCCAAGAAAACCGATGGGATTGCTCCGACGCCCAGCATCAGCCGCCACCCTAAGTCAGTTCTCAGCTTTGAAAATGCGTAGTTCGAAACGTAACCCAGTAATATTCCGCCATTAATGAACACCTACAAAACAAAATTTCATAAGTATACGCATACATACATATATATATATATATATATATATATATATATGAAAGACCAGAGTTTTAGTACCTCGGGGAATGAGGTGAGGAAGCCACGAGAGGAAGCGGGAGAGACTTCGGCGGTATAAACGGGGGCAATCATGAGAGCAAATCCGACGCCGATTCCGGCAACGAAACGACCCACCATTAAGAAAGCGTAGTTCGTAGCGAATCCCATGAGGAGTGCTCCCACGAAGAAAATGGCACCGGCGACGATTATAGTGTAACGACGACCTATCCAATCGGAGGTCCGACCGGCAGCGCATGAACCCACTAAACAGTACAGGTTGAGAATACCCGTAACGATTTCGGCTTGAACGTCGCTGATTTTGAGGTCCTTTTGTATGTAGATAATAGCTCCACTCATTACACCAATATCTACACACACATCATCCAAAAAAATCAAAAATCAAAACATAAAAGTTACCCAGATTTTTTCCATTCTTAATTAAGCTATGAACTTAACTTACCATAACCGAGTAAGATTGAAGTTAAAGAAGCAAGTATGGCGCAAGCGAAAGCATACTTGTTTCTTTTAGGTTTGTTTGCAGGCTCAAAATCTGCAAGAGTTTTGATGTTTGCTACAGCTGGTTGAGTTGAAAGGCCAGCCATGTTTGATAGCCTAGAAAAAGGAAAGGAAAATGGAAGAGAAAACTGAGCTGGTGATGGAAGGAAATATAGTAAAATTAGAGATTCAGAGGAGCCATTAATCTACTGTGCAGAGCCCAGTGTTGAGATGCGCAGAGTTTGCTTAAATAGACCACAAGGTTATTTCGTGAACCACCAAGTTGATTTTTTTGGTGAAGTTTCATTAAATTTTCTAAAATTATAGTACTAAATTTATTAAACTATTACTACATAATTATTACAACCTTATAATAATAATTAATAAGTTTAATTTTTATTTTATTTTTTCTTAAATTATTCTCTTAATAAACCATTAATACTGCTGTCTTATGTATGATATAAGACTCTTGCGCAAGCTAGCTGTGTTTATAATATTGGTACGATTGGATAATTTTCATTGTTCATTGTTTGGGCAAAACGTGAGATTTAGTTTTTAAAAAAAATAAAATTAAATTAAATTTTTTTAACAATTTCTACTTAAGGTGGAGGAGAATAACTTTGCTTTTAATAAGTATCGGACTCAAAATCTAAAAAAATATCAACTAAGAGCTTTTCGCTATTTATTTTAAAATTTGTTGACAATAAAATTTAATTTATTATTTGTTGATTGTTGTTAAACTAATTGTATTTTAAGCATGTGGTTGGGCTTATAAATTTATTATTGATTAAATATAAATGATGAAATTTTTATGTGGTCCTAAATGTATAATAGAATAACAATAAAAAAAATTTAATGTCATCATTTAATAATATCATCTAATGGTATTATTAATTTGTATATATTAATATAATAATAAAATATCAAATTATATAAAAAAATAAAACACTAGTAAAACTTTAAACATACTAAAAAGAATTAAAATCATAAATAAACGTGCATTTCTTTAAAATTTCATAAAAATTAGAATATCTAATGCCAATATCAATTATATCCTTTAAATACATATAAAATAAATATGTAAATTAAAAGTAAACAATTATGATTTTTGGGACAACTTTTGTTGACTGGTATAGACATGGACGAAGCTAAGTAGAGAATGGAAAATGTTTTTTTCCCTTAAAATTTATAGTCTTATGACATTTTAGATTAATTTTAAATTAAATTAAATATTATAATAATAAATATTTGATAAATTTTTATTATTTTAAACTTAAACAATAAATTTCATTTAATAATTAATCTTAATTATGTTTTTATATATATAATTAAGATTTTTTTTCCATCTTTCTTTATTTTAGGTCAATCAAGTCAACCTCAACCAGCAGCTTATCGAAGTGATCTCCACCAATTTGTCCAATTGTGAATCCATAATTATTGTTCCTGATTTCTCGGTCACAAAGTCAAGACAGCCTAATATATATAGGTTAAAGTATATAAATAGTCCTTTGAATATACAATACTATTTTATTTGGTTATTGAACTATTATAAATTATAAAATGATCCCTAAATTATAGAAAGTTATTTTGTTAAATCCACAAAATCATGACAGCATAATACATATAATATGATAGTGAAAGGCACCTTTATTGCAAATTGCTTACTTATTACATCAATAATTGAGTCTATTTTATTCATATTCTTCACAATATTGAATTAATTATTAAAAATCTAAAACAACAAATATTTCGCAATTGTTTTTACAAGTTTGCACGTATACTTTTCTTGTTTCTTCAACGTCAAGGAATTATATATATATATATATATATATTTGAAAAGAAAAATCAAATTTTATGTTTAAAAATTATAATTATATATCTATTACTATTATTTTAATATTTAATATTTAAATAAAGTGATATTGAAAAAAATGAGACAAAAATTAAAGTTGATAAAGTAAATATAAATATAATTTTATACTCATCTCTTTTGATTCCTCTTAATTTTGTATCATCTTCGCTCACCTAATATACATAATAAACGTATTTAAAAAATAATTTTGATAATGTTTGTGTTGCATATATTGATTGATTTCTGAAACTTTTGAAATTATGTTTCATTTAAAGATATATGGTATATTTGAAACATTATTTGTATTTAGATATTATGTAATAATTTTATTTTTTTAATCTTTTTAACTTGTGTTAGAGTTATATTTTAATTTATCAATTAAAAGATAATGATGATTTTTTATTATTATTTTAATATTTAATTAAAAATAAGTATATAAACTACACATTTTATTCACTTTAAATGCCTAAAGTACTTTTTCCTCGAGATATATTTTCTATTTTTATTTTAAATGTTTGATCCGTCATGACCGTTAAAAAACTATTAATCACTCAAATCTATGATTTGTGTCACGTTTTATGAAATTACGACTGTTACACACAGCAGGTGTTCTCTTAGGGTTTGAAGTTTGGTTGTCCGTGGCTAACGTAGTAGTATGGGAGCCGTTAAAGTAGATTTGAAGAATTAGGAATCCTTTGGGATATTTTTTGGTATCCATCTCTTATCTTATTCCTTAAAACGGGGTTTATACTTTATAGGAAGGAATAGTCGGGAGTTAGAATTATATATATATATATATATATATATATTATATATAATATATATATATATTAGTATGATCATCCATTTTAATTTATTGATCTTTTAATTTAAATAGGGTACTACAAAGGCGATAATGACTCTTTCAATCCAATTTATTTCATTCACAAACGTTAAGATTCGAATTTTTAGCCTTGCTTAAGTGATCTAGTGCCAAATTCTACTACGCCAACGGATTGTTGGTGAGTTAGAATTAAATATTAAAAGAGATAAGATTATTTTATACAAAAAATAAAATTTTATTGATTTAAATTTAAAACTAGGAGGAACAAATATTATTTAACTAATATTTAAATTTAAAAACCTAAAATATTATCATCGGATCCGTCGGTTATTCGTGTCATATTATTGCATGATTTTATTATAAAAAGAGTTAAACGAGATATTTTATTTTATTTTAAAAAGTTTGATATTGTTAAAAATGTTTAAATATTACATTAAAAATATTAAATTTATATAATGATAATAAAAATTATATATTTAATGGGTTTTGATATGATTTGATCTAAGTTTAGATATTTTAATTGGGAGCGAAACGGTGTCGTAATACTCTAAAAAGAGAGTAATAGAATTACAAATGAAATTTGCCTTGTGAAATTTTGGTGTTTTGCTTGGTGAATCCAACTCAAGTGCCTTCGAATTTTGCTTCGCTGCCAATATATCTCTGCAAATCTATTTGCAAAAAAGTCTTTCCTCAACTGCCGACTCCAATATTTGTCCTTTTATTATTTATGGTAATATTATGTATTTAGTCATTTAATTATTTTTATAGTTTTATTTTAACTATTTAATTATTTTTAAAAACTATATTTAAAATTAAGTTTGAGTCATTTACAGCTAAAAATTTAACGATGATATTAATATGTAACCATAAAATAATATCATGTCATCGTTGAAAAAATTAAAAAAAATTATCATGTCAGTAATTTTGTTCTTTTTTAACGACGAATTACTAAAACAAAACTTTAAATATAATTTTAAAAAAAATTACTCAAATGTCCAAAACAAAACTATAAAAATAATTAGATGACTAAATATGAAGTTTACCCTATTTATTAACCCCATTCATTTGTGGCCTTTGATATAAAAAAAATTAATTTCATTTTTTATATTCTCGTTTGATCATGTGGTCGGAACTTGGAAGTTCGACTTTTGTTCATAGAAATAAAATAGAAGTATATTTTACAATTAATTATTTATCTCTTCGAAAGAAATATGAACCAAACGACTTCGATAGTAAAGAAATAGTTGTTATTCCTTAAGATTTTGGGTTCGAATACCACGAGTGCGATAGGTGTGAGTGTTCAATGTCAAATAATTGAGAGTTATCTTTGAAAAAATATCTTGTACTTACTCTATATTAAAAAAAATTCTTCGAAAGGACGTCTATAATAATAAAAACCATTTATTATAAATAATTATTACTACGTTGTTACAATAAATGTATTTTTTTAATAAATTTATTGATCATTTTATAATAATATAAAAAATTGATAATTATTTTATAACCATTCAATAAAATTTAAGTCATTTCAAAAAATTTAAAAATTTAAGGGTAAACTACACAAATAGTCCTTCGACTATAGGATGATGCTTTGTTGAGTCTCTTGACTATTAAAAGTTATAAAATGATCCCTCGACTATAGACTATTGCTTTATTGAGTCCCCAACTATTAAAAGTTACAAAATGGTCACCTGACTATTTAGTATGTTCCAAACTCATAATTTTCTGTTAAAAAATTAACAACAATCTAAGATGAATATTAACTTGTTGACTGAGATATAATAGTTTTTTTTAGATTATGAATCAGATTTTATCATATCTCAGTCATCAAGTTAACATTCAGCTCAGACTATCGTCATTTTTTTTAACATAAAGGACAAGTTTGAAATACACTAAATAGTTGAGTGAACATTTTGTAACTTTTAATAGTCGGGAGACTCAACAAAGTAATACCCTATAGTCGAGTGACCATTTTATAACTTTTAATAATCAAGAGACTTAACAAAATCATCATCCTATAGTCGGGTGATTATTTGTATACTTTATCCAAAATTTAATAATTATTTTATAACTTTTAAAGACAACAAGACGTTTGCTCACTAATGAGTAATGACTACCACAAGAGAAGAACTATGAAAGCAAAGTTGTAGTTTGAAATTTATTGTTAATTTTCTACCCTCTCAAAATCATATGTTAGAATTCTAATTATATATTTATATAAATTTTAATATATTAAAAGTTTATATTTATAATTAATATATTTAAATTTAATCGTTATATTTTAGTTTAATTATTCTTAATCTTTATATTTTTAGATTCTGAAATTTAAATCCTAACTATTATAGTGAGAGTTAAAATAAAATTCGTAGTCTTTATAATCTTTTAGATTTAGATTATATAGTCGAAGTTTTTTAAAGATGTTATAAAAATAATTTGAGATACATCAGATTTTGATATGATATATATGATATCATGTATTTATAATTTTCATGATTATTATGTTTATAATAAATTATTATTATTATTTTAATTGGTGAAAATAAATAAAATTACATCTCAACTTTTGTGCTATTCTTTTACCGTGATATCGGATTTATGATGACAGCATAAGAGTTTGTTTGGAGAACATAAATGGGTGTATTTATAGATCCAATGTCTTCTACTTCTTCTTGTTTTCTTTGTCCATTAAATATGCTTTCTCGGCTTCAGGAATTGCCAGCATGATAGTATTCAGCTTGAAGTTCATCTCCTCCACCTTCTCCAATAACCTATCGTTTGTAAACATGCCACTGCATACACTTTTTATTGTTCCCCAGCTTTCGATTAACGGCAAACCAATTATAACTGCCGATCCCAAGCTGCCCCATGCCATGGCAACCACGGCCCACAATGTGAAATACCTCACACCGAACTCCCCTGCAGGAATGGTGAGTAGAGGCCAGAGGATGACGATGACAATCGTTAAACCAACACCCCATTTCACTATCCATGATTTGGCTTTCTTCAGTTTCTCCTCTTTGAACTCTTCTTCATGCAGTTCAGTTGCTTCCTTCTCCACCATTGTTATCTGCCTGGTGGTGTCCCAGGTATAGTTTTGAGGCCATAAAAGACTGCACACGCCGTGAATGGCTCCACCTGTAAGTATGGAAACCAGGTTTCCGGCGAGCATCGGTGCGTTCCGACCAGTCGTGTCGAGGTTTACTCGGCCATATTCGACGCTTGCCACTGATAACCAAGTGATGATTCCGAATATGCAACCGATGATTGCTCCTAGGATGGCTCCAATGGCGTTTGCTTTCCTCCAGAGAAGCATGAAAGCAATGGGGAGAACTGCTGAGCCGATGAGAACTCCCATGGCGAGATACATCCAACCCAGTGAAACTCCGGCCTTGTTTAATATTACAGCGAACAATCCCATGAAACAGCCGAAGCCTAAGACGACAGCTCTGGAAACACGGAGGATTTTTGTCCCGTCGGCGTCTGGGTTTATGTAGGTACGGTAGATGTCGTATGTGCATAATGAGGAAACAGCGATTAGCTCAGAGGAACCAGCAGATGTCACAGCCCTATTCATGATCAATGTAACATCATGTCACATGTTGAAACAAAAAAAAAAAGAGAAGAGAAAGAGATGGTATTTAACCATCATCATTCTCTTCACTTATCGATGCGGGATTTAATTTTCCATATTGTTTTAGCATTTCTAACTGTAACTTACATGAATAGCATTGTAAGGAGAAGAAGAGACCCTCCTTTTCCCATCAAAGCTATAGCAGTGGCAGGAGGAACCAGTCCACGGCTTGCTTCATCCATTGTTATTGGTAGATCAAGTGCCAGTGCTCCAAGGCCCAATGATGTTGCCAATGAGAATGGCACCGCAAACCAAACAAGCCCTCCCAATAAGTACCCTTTATGTGTCGATGAAGGTCGAGCAGCAATGGCACTCACCCAGTATCCCTAAACAAAATTTCACATTGACCAAATGTAAATTGAGACACTTCTGATTTGTAAACCACAGTTGATGAAACTTACATTGTCAACAAAAACAGTGCCAAAATTGCCAACAATGTTTATAATCCCAAAAACAAGACCCCCTGAGCTCATGATTGTGAGATAAGACCCTCTGTAGTTCCCGGAAATCGGACCACAAGACTGTCCGTCGTGCGAAATCGGCTCCGTGCATGCTCGTAACTTGCTGGCAACTTCCTGCAGATGGTGGTGTATGATGCTGGGGCTACCGAGCTTATCGCTAGCCGTATACACTAGGTATACGAAGATAACTAATACCACGTGAACTAGCATCGATCAAATAACAAAGGGTCAATTTTTATACGCCTAAAAATGAATGTCTAATGAATTGAGAGCCATGCATACCGATGACAGAGTGTATGTAGCTAGCCAAGAAGGTGGCTTTAAGCCCTCCTGCTAATGTATAAACAATTACCCCAAGTGGTATTAAGAAGCTAGCGGCGTACATGTTCACCCCTGTAAGTGCATTCACCACGGCGGAACCACCGAGTAGCAACATCGCCGTCACGATGATGTTCGTCATGAAGCAGAACGTAAGGAAGACGATATGTGCAGCTTTTCCCCATCTGAGGTATGTCAGGAAAAAAAGGAAGTGATAAGTAAAGATGTTGTATCGGTGTGTGATAACGATAGTGCTTACCGAGCTTTTACGATCTCGCAAACCGTATGTGCGTAGGGAGCCTTCCGTTTGATCTCAATGGCCATAACTCCGAACAGTAGTACCTATTGATCAGCACTGGTTTAAATATACTAGAGATCTTTGTGCTATTTCGAAATTATGGAACTTGCCTGGATTGTAGCACCACTAGCGTACCAAAAAGGACCACTGATTCCATACTGCCAAGCAACATTGGAACTTTGCAAAATGGTAGCAGCCCACGTCCACTAGAGACATACAAGCATTAGAAAAAAAGGGTCTATCTCAGTTTGCAGATACAACAGACGATACCGATAGCTTACCTGTGATACGATCACACTGGCGATAAGCCCTGTTTTGACACTCCTTCCGGCTGTGTTGAACCACTCGGACGTGTGGCGTGAACCAACATATCGTTTCTCTAACCACACCTGATCATGTCAATCATCATATGATGAAGTCAACAGCAGATGGCATTCAGAAAGGTTGTTGAATGATTGATGATTCAAAGTCACCATGAAACCACAAGCTATCAGCAACTGACTTACCAAGAAGGAAGTGAAAAAGGCGAAAAAGGCACCGAAGGCGAGGATGACGGCGTAGCCGAGGCCTTGATTCAGCACTGCTTTTCCTTGGAAGAAACTACTCTGCCTCACACACCCTATTCCCTGTTGGAAATCATAGTAGCTGCCTGAGAACTCCAATGGAGGACACTTTTCACTCATACTTGAATATTCTTCAGATCTATCAATATTTCAAACATCATTAGGCTTAGTGCTATACAAGAAACTTCGAAAAAGATGCCCAAGAGACTACAAGACAAGATGAACAACCAACCACAGCTTTGCCTTGTTTCGTCCGGAATCTGCCCAAGTCAAACTAAAACACTGATACCTTAACCACATGTTATATTCGGTATATATATATATATATTTGAAAATATCTCAACTTAAATAATTTACTCCTCTATTGATTTTTTTATTATTATCAAAACATGCAGTTGGTCCTTGTATTTCAGCAATGTTTGAGATTTAGTCCTTGTATTTTACAGTCCTTTCGCTTACTTGTATAGCAGAGTGTTATGAGCCTTAGTGTAGGATCTAGTCACGAGTCTAGACGTCGAAGATTTTCTACTCCGACCTATGGTTAATCAGAGAGACAGATCCGTCCTTGACTAAACTCCCTCTAGGAATAACTTTTTAATTGAGTAGTTGCTTCTTTTCTTTATTCAATATTGACAGCCTTTAATAGGCCTTTAGTGACAAAGGAAATAATCCTAATGGAAATAAAATAAAGATCCCTAACATATAGAATCTTGATTAGCAAGATCTAATGTAATAGAGGAAACAAAAAAACTCTAATTTACTGCCCTCTATATATTTATCGTCTTCCTTCTCTGACATTGCTTTGAAATAAGGCATCCACATCACAGAGCAATCTTTTTAGCGTTGGGATTGCAGACAAAATGTTGAAAAGCTGGGTTCTTAATGTACTCACAAAGGCATGGCTGCTGCTCGTTCAGCTTGCTGCAACAATTGGCCAATGGAGCCACCCAAATGAGCGCCGGCATGCAGGGGCTAAGCTGTAGGGAATCACATCCACTGTCTCTGCCATGATAGTTTCACCGGAAAACAGCGCCACAATGAGTGCCACCACACACAAGGCAACAAAGGACCCTCTTCATCTTTGATTTTTTTCATGCACATCATGGTAATATAAAGGAAGCATTGTGAAGTTGAATGGTATTTGGTGCATTTTGGGCACGGATTGTGGCAACGGAGCTGGATTGGAAACTGTCATCAGCATTTTGACAAGGAATCAGAATTACGATACATTTGATCAATAAATACTGTCCCACACTTGGGACCTCTAGTGTCGAAGTCTAGATTTTATTATTAATGGAAGTAAAATAAATTTACTTTTTATTTGATTTAATTAAATTAAAGAATAAAATATTAATAATTTATGTTAATATTATTTATTTTTTTAATTTTTAAATCTACATTATAAAACATTTGGTATCATATACATATTATTTGTGAAATTTAGCTACTTTCATTTTCTGTCACCATCTAATTAAAAATTATTTTTAAAAAATCGCAATTAAATGGTGACCAAATTGATTAAAGAATTAAAATTTTCAAATTAAATTAAATTAAATTAAATTAAATTAAAAATATAACCATATTAATAAAATAGGTAACTAACAAAGACAAATATATAAAAATATACCAAATTTTTTAATTGCTACATCACCCTTTCCTTGAATGAGAGTGTCATCATTGAAATAGTTAAATGATATGATTGACAAAATTAAAAGATTGATGATGATCATATTATAATCTCCAATAACTATGCGGTCATATTTACAATTAATCCTTGAAAAATCAATAAGTATTGTTATTTTACCAGGGGTGCTTTTTCCTTTAATGGAGGTGGCCAACCATCACTGAATTAGCCCACCGTAGGATAGTGTATTTTCCCATGGGCTACAGTCTTCGTGCTGGAATGTTCAAAATGGACTAGATCAGAAGTTCCACAAACAGCGTCGGCGTTTATTCCGGCAACAGCACAAGGACACCATGCGAAACAAAGCTGGCTCTTGCAAAGTATCAAGGGAAATACAGGACTGCAATGGTCAAAAGGTTTGCCCCTGGCCCTCAGTGGGATTGCTGCATGCACAAATGGACTAAGTAAAGACGCAAATCAATTTGTGAAAGAAAAATCAATACCGTAAAGATATGAAACAGTCCATAAATGATTATCAAAGACTACATGTGCTGTTAAAGAACATTATACCATCCAAACTGGCATTACAAGCAAACATTAGCAGCCATTAATCTTCATTCTAATACACCAATACTCTATCTTGAAACCTGGAAATTCATCAACTCACCTCTGCCATTGGGAAAACAAAATGCACTAGGGAAGATCAAAGCAACATTGAGCCAATAAGCCACACGTCTATGTTTTATAGAGCAGAAAGCACTAATACACATATCACACAAACTTTTTCAACGCTGTAATGGGTAATAAAAAAAATCAGAGCATGCCCAAAAGCAAAACTTTCGAAGCGGATCAGCAGAAATCCAAACAAAAATGGAAAACAGATACACAAAATAGCTAAGCATGTAACTAACAGAGACAAAAGCAAACAAAGAAAGAGATTATCTGATAAAATAATCCCCGAAACAGTCCCAAGATACACAAACATAATCAAAATCCAAAAGCCATCTTCGTAAATCTGGGGATGCAGCTTCAGATTTTTTTAGCTTTTTTCCCCTTTTTTGAGAAATGTGCAGAGGCACAAAACCAAATCATCCATTGCAAAATGGTCTTGCAGCCTGCATATCTCTCTAAAAAGAAATGCTAACACCATCGATCTCTAATTCATTCAATAAAATAAACTATTCAAAAGAAAAAAGGAAAAAAAAACAGTAAATGTCTGAGGAAGTTACTAATAGACGCCTTCGAAAAAAAGAAGAAGGCGTCATCAGCGAGACCCTCAGAAATTGATTTTGATTTCGGCCTCCCATGAATCAAATAAGCACCTTTAATCTTCAGCTCATTTGGGATTAATGAAGGCCACCCCCAATCCGCCAAAAATACAAATGAAAGACAATAAAGAAGAATCTGGGCTTATGTTTTCACTGTTTTCGTCTATGGTTGGAGGGTTTGGGAAGTTCTTATAGTGTGTATTCCGTGGAGGAGGGGGAGGGGGGGTTTCAAAAACCCTAGATCTCTCTTCGCTTAACCTTTCCTTTTTTTATGTTTCAGCCCTTCATTTACTTCGATTTTAGACTTTTGCTCTTTTAGCTCTTTTCTTTTCATGTTTTTGCCCCTAAATTTGCGATTAATATATGTATGATTATTTTAATAATTTAATTAATTGAGTCGATAATTGATAATTTAATTTAAATTGATTGAGAAATACATTATTCGAACTGTTTTTGTAAATAATAAGATTTAACTAAATTCATACACACGTGTAAATAAAATTGTTTAAGTATATATCATCTTTGAAAAAGAATTTTATCTTTTATAACTAAGATCACTCCTTGAATGCATTATTGGGATTGGTTTAGGGTTTGAAATAAACGGCTGTTGCAAAGTATATGTTAGGGTTCATTAAGAAAGGGCTAATGGTGGTGTCCTTTCAGTTTCATTTACAAGGAAGAGATGCCTAAAATTGGCTCAATAAAGTATATGGATTTTTTATTTAGCCTAATATAGTAACTGATTTATGATATTTTTTATAGTGGCGTGGAATTCGTCACATCGAGTTGATAATATAAAAAAATATTTTTTATTTTAATTTTTTACTTTGATGTGATAGATTTTAATAAAAAATTATATTTTATTAAAACTCATCACCTCAACGTTACGAGTTCCAATATATTTATAAAAAAATGTTGTGAATCTCAAAATATAAACAGAGATGCCTTAGGCTAAATAAAAAATATGTTATCCTTATTGGGGGAAAAAACCATGCCCCAAAAGAAGAAAGGAAAGAGAGAAGCAAAGCAAACTCAAACTTCGAGGGCTACTATGTTTATATTTTAATTAAATAGACATATCCACTCAATAACAATACTTATTTAAATACATATCAAAAATTTTAAAGTTATTATAAAAATAATAATAAAAACTTGTGGTAAATGAATTGTTGTTATTTATTAAGGTTTCGAGTTCGAACATCATGAATGTGAGTGGTACGAATCTTCAATATCAAAAGATTGAGAGTTATCTTTGAACATATATTATCTTATTCTTATATCAAATTATCAAAATAATAATAATAATTAAATATTAATTGATTGAGTTAATATTTATTTATAATTTTACATAAAGGAACAACTATATATGAATGAGTAAATTGTTTTCCAACAAACACATTTATTTTTCGGGTACAAGTACAATCATGAATACAAAACAATATCACAAAAATTAAAGATTAATAATTATAATTTAATTAATTAATCAATCTAAATCAAATACCGTTAATATTTATTATGAGTATGTTTTTAATTTAATTTATTTATAAAATTAAAATTTAATTTTAAATATTATTTTTAAAAATTAACATATTATTTTATTAAATTAAACTGATAGATTAATTTATTTCTCTTGATCAAGAAGGAAGTACTCCGACAAATAAAAGTGAGTAGTTGTATTTGACCCCAAAAATCAGGGGTTAACCCACCTTTGGTTCACAAAATTATGACAAAAGTTTATAATTTTCAAAAGAGTAAATTTCACAAATGCCCTCAAATTATGGACTTTATTTTAATTTTGTCTCTAAAGTTTTAAATATTCTACTTTAATCTCTAAACTAAGACTATCATTCTAAATTAGTCATCAAACTTTTTAAATATTCTAATTTCATCCCCAAACTATACGTATATATTAATCAAATCCCTTGTTAATATAATCGTTAAGCCAGGTCATATTTTTTTTTTTCAAATAAAACAAAAATTAGGTTAAACTGTTGAAATTAATTATATATTTGGATGAATTTGGGAATAAAATTGAAATATTAAAAAGTTTAAAGACTGATTTAAAATGAGAGTTATAGTTTAGGGACATATGATGCATTTAACTCTTTCAAAATAAAAAGACTTGAAGTGTCGCCTTCAAGCTTGGAGCATAAGATTCAGTCAGTCGGCACTCGCAAGATTTCTCAGTTATCCAAACCACATCTCAGATTGACTTTTAACCATGCCAAAGCTCCCTTATTTTCTTCGGGACTGTACCTTTTGCGCGTGAAAACTGTAAAGTGAAAACTAGGGAAGTTCTACCATAAAGAACACATTGCTTCCTGCGTTTTCCATGTCCCAGTTTTCATTTTTCTCATGCGTGCAAGCTATTCTCTCAGTTGCCTCTTAACCGTTTAAGGTTCTTCATTCATCAATCCACTTCACCATATAATCCCATCACTGATTGCTTTCTTCTTCCCAAACGCAAATCTTCTTTCTTTTCTGTTTAGGGTTTCTAGATTTTCTCCTTTTCTGTATTTCTGGGGTTTTTTCTTTTCTTTTGAAAAACATTAAAAAATCTGTTCAAAATCCCTTTTTTTCTTCTGATTTTGTCTAGTTTGGTTAAGTAGAGAGCTTGTTCCGATTTAGTAGCTAATAAAGAAGTGATTTTTTTTTTTGGTCATAAAAGAACGGATATTTGTTTGGTTTTGATCCGACAAAGCTATGGGAAATCGTACGAGCAAGAAGACAACTGAAACATCGTCATCGTCCGCTATCAATGTTAGCAGCAGCTTGCATTGCTCGACCGAACTAACTTCCTACGAAGCTGCTTGCAAACTCAACACGGAGCTGCAAACGTTCGACACGAACGTCCAAGCTCGAACGAATCAAGTCATCGACTCACTCGCGGTCGGCGTCGAGGTCCGAGCGCTTTCGTTCGATTCGCTAAGAGATGTGACCGAATGCCTTTTGGAAATGAATCAAGAGGTCATCCGGGTTATCTTGGAATGCAAGAAAGACATATGGAAGAGCCTTGAATTGTTCGAGCTCGTCGAGGAATACTTCGAGAACAGCTTGAAGGCACTCGACTTTTGTTCGTCATTGGAGAAGTGCTTAAAACGCGTTCGTGATAGGCAGTTGCTTATCCTCGTCGCATTGCAACAGTTCAACCAGGAAAGCGTAAATGGTGGCGGTGACGGCGGTGAAATTAAATACACAAGGACATTGGAAGAATTGAAGAATTTCAAGGAGGCCGGCGATCCGTTCACCGAGGAATTCTTTCGAATATTTCAATCTGTTTATAGACAACAAATGACAATGCTTGAGAAATATCAGCTTCGGAAGAACAAGCTCAATAAGAAGATTAAGTACATTCATGCATGGCGGAAGATAACGAGTATGATATTTGTCACTACATTCGCTGCGGTTTTGATCTGTTCGATCGTGGCGACAGCTATGGCTGCTCCACCGGTTGCAGCGGCTCTGGCAGCTGCAACCTCGATCCCGTTAGGTTCGACGGGGAAATGGATCGATTCCCTATGGAAAAACTACCAAAACACTTTGAAAGGACAAAAGGAAGTGATTAGCTTGATGCAAGTAGGGACTTATGTGGCCATTAAAGACTTGAATAGCATCAGGGTTCTCGTCGATCGGCTTGAGATCGAGATCGAGTCGATGTTGAAAACAGCGGATTTCGCAGTACAAGAAGAAGCTGTGAAAATCAGGGTGGATGAAATCAAGAAGAAACTGGAGATTTTTATGAAGAACGTGGAGAAAGTGGGGCAACAAGCTGATATTTGTAGCCGAGACATTAGGAGAGCGAGGACTGTGGTTCTTCAAAGGATCATAAACCATCCCAACAACTCATAAAATTTCAGCCTTCATTTCGATGAATGTTGTCGAAAATAACGACGATAACGATAATGATGACAACGATAATAACGACCACGACAACACAAAAACAATGATATTGATTGATTTCCAACGTTTCTGGAATAATACATGTTTGTTTCAGGTTAATGTTTTTTAAGACAATATTTTATTTTGTTCATAGTTGAGGTTTTTTTATTATCATTTAGGAAATGTTCTTTTATTCCATGTAATTATTGAATATTTTCAATAGTATATAGTTTCACACTTCCATTATTGTTTTTGTTATAGGACTCGGAATAGGTTTCCGATAATTTGTCAAACGACGTTCTTTTACTTTGATTTTTTTAATAAAAAAATACGAATCAAGTGATATCGATAGTAAAATAAATATTGTTATTCTTTGAAATTTCAGATTCAAGCACTGAATAGTAAAAGTATGAACGTTTAATGTCAAATAATTTAAAGCTATCTTTGAATATATATACTACGTTGTACTTACGATCTAGAATAATAAAAAAAATCACTCCTCTAAACGGCCTTCTATTTCTTTTATCTCAAATGCAGGATACAAAAGCGTTCCTAGCTATCTTAAGGATAAGGGAAAGTAAGGATTTACCCTTAAGATAGGTCGAGGCCCATTCAAGCTCCGCATCCTACCCCATTGCTCGTTTGGCAATGCTACACCTAATCAAAATAACCTCCCAAATACTCCTAAAAAAGGAGCACACTGAAAGAAAATGTAGGTCCTGGTCTCAAGGCCATCACAAAACACACACTTATTATCCACAACAAGTCGCATATGCGATAATTTATCTTTGGCGGGAAGCCTCCCCAAGATGGTCAATCACCCAATGATCGCGTGTTTAGGGATATGGAAAGGGAACCGCAAAGTCCTATGCCAAGGCACCTTTGGACTCTCCACTCTAATTTTAGACCAGATCCAGCTGACATTGATGGAAGCAAGATTAGGAGTAGCTGCAAAGAGAGGACGAGCTTCATCCCTCATGTCCAACAGCTTTCGAATGCTCCAACTGGCATTAGGCTTCCTCTTAACGTGCCATAAATCAACTCCTCTAAAAACATAGGCATTAAGCCAAGTCACCCACAAGGAACCCTCCTCAGCCAAAATCTTTCGAAGAAAAAAGAAAGAACATGCCTTATTCCAGCTTTTAGTGTCCCTAAGCCCAAGACCACCCTCAGATCTTAGTGTACAAACCTGCCCCCAGCTAACTCGAGCTTTAGTGAAAGCAGTGTCCTCCCTCTTAGAAATATCTAGAGCATAATTAATCATTTTATTAAAAATAAAGGTGTTTATGGGTCGAGTTTTGAATATCAGGTTGGATTTTGAATTTATCCGAATAATCTATTTTTTTACAACTCTAATTGATAATATATTTTTATAAAATATAAAAAAACTAATATAAAGTACGCATGAAGAACACGTAAATTATTGTGTCCGTATCATTAAAAGTTTATTGATTATATAAATATTTTATTTAAAATAATCATTTTATCATTTTTAGAAATATTGGCAGTTAAATTTAACTCTTTTGATAGTTTGAGGATTAAATTTAGCATGAAGGGCTAAATTAACAAAAGAATAAATATTGAGGGTTTAATATATTATTATACATATTTCAGAAAAGGGGAAGATAATAAAACATACCGCTTAGGATAAGCAAACAGCAACGGTCGTTATTATTACACGACCAAAAGGAAAAACAATATCTTCTAACTAACACTTCCTGCCCCAAAAATGAAACACACAGACAGGTACTAGAGTTCTCAAAAATTCATCAATGGAAACTCTGTTAAACCCATCAAAAACCTCAATACTCTTTGTACCCAAAACCCATCTCTTTAAACCCTCTCTTCTCCATTCTAGCTTCAATCCTCGACCCCATGCTTCCTTCAACAGGAGACCACTCTCAGTAGCCATAATTTGCAAAGTGAAAACCACTCCGAATCGTAAAAACGATGAGAAGAACAACAACGTATCCAAGAAGATTCTGTTGTCGGATTCTGCTCCGGAACTGAGTAATGAAGAAGGCAAGGCGAATCCAAAGAGTGGAAACAAAGCTTGGAAGGTTATTACAAAGTTGCCCAAAAGAGTTTTGGCTGTCTTGTCGAACTTGCCTTTGGCTATTGGAGAAATGTTCACTGTTGCTGCACTTATGGCTCTCGGTACAAATTTGTGATTTTTAATCTCTCTTGGTGTGAATTTGATGCCAGAAATATGTTTAAAGGTAATAAATTGATGTTAGTAAACTGTTTTGTTAATGCAATTCTTCTTTAGGTACTGCAATTGATCAAGGGGAAGCCCCGGAATACTATTTCCAAAAGTACCCTGAAGAGAATCCAGTTTTAGGGTTCTTCACTTGGAGATGGGTTCTAACCCTTGGATTTGACCACATGTTTTCATCTCCAATCTTCCTTGGAACTCTGGTTCTTCTTGCCACATCATTAATGGCATGTACCTACACAACACAGATCCCCCTTGTTAAAGTTGCAAGAAGGTTTGATGTTTTTAGTAACTTCTTGTCTTGTTCTTGAATAAGTTGGAGATGTTTAATACTTTGGGAAATCCCATTTTTGCAGATGGAGCTTTCTGCAGTCAGCCGATGGTATCCGAAAGCAGGAATTCTCGGATACTCTTCCTCGAGCATCGGTTAAAGATTTAGGTGTTATTCTCATGGGAGCTGGATATGAGGTTGTGTTTTCTTACTTCAATAATCATTGCTGTGTAACATGTAAAGAAGGATCCGATTACGATGTCGATCCACATCATCAAATTGCAGAAATCTAAGCGGTGTTGCCTCTGTGTACATGGTTTGATCAATACAGGTTTTCCTGAAAGGGCCTTCATTGTATGCTTTTAAGGGGCTGGCTGGTCGATTTGCACCGATTGGAGTACATTTAGCAATGCTGCTGATAATGGCTGGTGCAACTCTTAGTGCAACCGGGAGCTTCCGAGGGTCGGTCACCGTTCCGCAGGGACTGAATTTTGTAATGGGAGATGTACTCGGTCCAACGGGGTTTCTTTCCACCCCTACCGATGCTTTCAATACTGAAGTTCATGTGAACAGATTCTACATGGACTACTATGATAGCGGAGAGGTAAAATGTTTATTTCCTTTGTTGTTTGAAGATCCATAAAGTAGAGCCTTTTCATTTTGAAAGGCAATATAGTTTCGTTTCATTAGTAGAAGAGATAAGTAGACAGACCCCGAACCCACCACACTTGAACTCAACGATCTTCGACTCCCCCAAAGCAGACCCCGGCTTGACGATTTTAAGGCATAACGGAAAGTTTGTTGCGACATAACACGACACGGATTAAAGTCGAGATTTAGAAGTGCCTGAATCTTGCATAGATACAAAGCATGTAAAACGATCAACGCTTAAGATTACTGTGTATGCCTTTTGTTTTTGGAATTTTTTATGTTAGTTAATAGCTGCCTAGATTTTTTCTTGCTTAATTATGCTTAATATTATTCATTGTTACTTTATTTAACGATCTCTTCTTTTAATTTATGTGTCCATTGTTGCAGGTTTCACAGTTTCATACCGACCTATCGCTATTCGATATCAACGGGAAGGAAGTAACGAGGAAAACGCTTAGTGTAAATGACCCCTTAAGGTACGGTGGGATCACCATATACCAGACAGATTGGAGTTTTTCAGCACTGCAGATACTTAAGGACGATGAAGGACCATTCAATTTGGCAATGGCACCTCTAACGGTCAATGGCGACAAGAAGCTTTTCGGACCTTTCTACCAGTAGGGGACACCGATTCTCCTAACGTCAAGGGAATGTACGTATACGTCTTTTACAGCTTCATTTTCATGCGTGCAAACTTGTTATATGAAAAGCTCCTTACTGATACTTTCAAGATCTACTTTACCGAGTTAAACAAATTAAAGCCTGAATGTGATTTATCTTTTATCTCGAAATCACATCTTTAGATTATCATCTCAGGCCGAAACAGGTTTCGGGTGATTTGTGAATGGTCAATGGCTGCATTTCTTCCCCCTTTATGCTAGTTGAATTTTTCTGATCTTGTTCCCTTTTGATCAACTGAAACTTCAGATCAATGCTCGCTCGTGATCTGCAGTCTATTGTCCTATATGATAAACAAGGGAAATTTGCCGGAGTGCGACGACCTAACTCTAAGCTTCCTATAGAGATTGACGGAACAAAAATCGTCATCGTCGATGCAATTGGCAGTAGTGGTCTTGACTTGAAGGTAATAACTTAAACGATTTCATGTAGTACATCTTCTGAAATTTTCATCTTTTACAAAATAAAATCATATTTTGTTCAGACTGATCCAGGGGTCCCTACAGTCTATGCTGGTTTTGGAGCTCTGATGCTCACAACTTGCATCAGTTACTTATCTCATGCACAGGTGAAACACACACACACACTCATATATATATATACGTCTATTATCAGCTTATCCATTGAGAAAGAAAATCCGAAAATCATCAATGTGATCATCATGCGTTTATGTATTCAGTATCTTTTTCTTTGTGCATATAAGATATGGGCATTGCAAGATGGGACAACAATAATAGTTGGGGGAAAGACAAATCGAGCCAAGGCTGAATTTCCAGACGAGATGAACCGTTTGCTCGATCGGGTTCCTGAGATAGTTGAGTCTTCCATTTCCAAGCAACCCGATAGCATTGGTGGCTAGTTTTCGAGGTGTTGGATGAGTGAAAATATGAGCATTCAAGCTTGCTACAGTTTTGAAGTTTCAGGTAAAATCAAGATATTGTTCCATTTCGATTTCATACAAATCCGGTGAGATGTTATGCGCCCTAGCCATGGACAACACCAAATTCACAACTTGTGCAGCAGTGTGAGCAAAAATTGAACGAAATGTATAGTTCACAAAGAATCCAATACCATTCTCTCATAACGAACATCATATGTTATTCTTGGTTTGACATGTACTAATTTGTCTATTTATATATGCTTTTGCTTAAACCATTACTTCTGCAATTATATGCCAAATATATATATTCAGCAATGGCATTTATAAAAGTATGATACATTACTGTTCTCCCAGGTAAGCATATGAAACTGTGAGCTTACATCGATCCCTAAATATCGATTCCGCTATCAGATTCTAGGAGGCCCCCATCGTGGGGAGATGCACACCTGTGTGAACCTATACTTATGCTACTTGCAAGGCCTCTTCGCGTTTTATGTCGAACACCTTGATTAGGGCATCTTCCACAACCTGATTAATACAGACGGGCAATATATATTACTTCGCATGATATAAGCACCTTGATCAAGAAATAGCATGATATATACATTACCTTATCTGGTGTAGAGGCACCAGATGTAACACCAATTGTGATCGGACCCTCCGGTAGCCAATTTTCTGTCTCAACCAGCTCCCCGTGCTGGTACAACACAGCATTCGCGCAATTAGAACAAGAAATAGCAATGATAACCCCTTTTCTAGGCTTAAAAATTGTAGAAGTTAATCAAGAATTGGATTCCTTTGCATTTGAACTTACTTTCAATTTGTGAGCTATTCTGTTTCCTGGACCAATTCTCTGCTCACTGTCGATCCAAAATGAAGGGATCCCACGGTCCTCCGAAATTTCTTCAAGGTGTGACGTGTTGCTTGAATTCCACCCACCGACCACTAACATGAGATCCAGATCTTCTTCAACCAACTTATACATTGCATCTTGTCGCTCCTGAAAAAGACAACGGACCAGTTTTTAAATCAACAAATAACACAAAGATCGATATGCAATCAGTTGAGGCAAAGAATGTAAGGACGACTAGCTAATGCTGTAAATTCTTCCATAAGAAAACATATCACAGTTCATGATAAAAACCAAACTATCACAAAACATTCAACTTACTTGTGTTGCATCACAAATTGTGTTAAAACTTAAGAAGTGATCGGCAACATTTGTTACTCCATATTTTTGCATCATTGTCCTCTCAACTAGTTTCCCTGTTAACCGAAAACGTAATGTGTGTCTCAAGTAACAATTCCTTACAAAAAAGAAGTGATATATAAATACGTGAAAAATTGCTACTAACCGATTTCCTCCGTCTCTCCCTTCAGCATTGTAGTTTGATTTGCAATCCCAACTTTTACTAGATCACGATCCGGATCAAATCCCTCTGATGTAGCATTCTTAAATTTCTGCAAAAGAACAAAAGCCAAAGATATTTATACAATACTCAGTACATTTTACATACGAAGAAGATAAACGACAAAGATTATACCTCCATAAACGCCTCCTTAGTGGAGCTAGATCCATTAAGTTCACCTCCAAGAATGTAGTCGCAAACATACATCGCCTTTGAAATTCAGACGGCATTAAATCAAACAAGTTTAATTTAATAAAATATAAAGCTCGAATGAAAACAACGAAAACTGAATGATTCATCACTTCAGGAGATACCTCCTTCATATCCTTCACAATGATATAAGTTCCAGCAAAAGATGCAGTTGCGATTGTCTCCTCGTGAGCATATTTACCATGGATGATGGAAGTGTAGTCTCCTCTCTTGTGCTTATCTACTACATTCCATACCTGCATAGAAATAATATTTCATTGTCAAAAGATTCATTCAGGTGTCGGATGCAGGCATGAACTCGAGATATGAGTCCGGATAACATAGATCGTGAGGAATTAGTTGTGATGACAGCAAACCAGTTTTAGCAGAAGATACCTTAGATACCCAAGGACAAGTTGTATCAACAATTTGAACATTTTTGTCATTCAAAACCACCATCTCATCGACTGCAGCTCCGAAAGCAGGCAAAACCACGACATCGCCCTTATTCACCACATCGAAATCTTTTGTCCCTCCTTCAACCGGAATGTTCTTAACTTCCATCTCCTCTAACCGCTGCAGCAAAGGAAAGAAAACTAACAAACCAGTAATTATTTGATCTCCTAAAACATTTTATCATATATATTATATGATCTCTATGGAAAAAATACAACTAGCAGAGAAAAGATAAGACCTTATTAACAGTAGGGTTGTGGATAATTTCATTGGTAATCCAAATTCTTTCATCTGTAAACTGTTTTCTTGCTTCATAAGCAATCTGGACGGCTCTCTCAACTCCCCAGCAAAAACCGTAAGCTTCGGCCAATTTTACCGTTACGTTTCCCCATGTATACTCGTTTCCACTTTCCTTCAATTTCTTAATAATATCACCTGAAAATTTTTATCCCCTCAATTAAAATTCAAATTAAATATATGGTTTTATTTGTGAAGAGCAAAGAAAAGCTTACTTGTGTACTCTCTGTTCATGAGTTCGAGAGTTTCCTCCTTGTGCCCGAAACCTTTCCGATTATAATTCTGACTCTTCGACAAGTTCCGTCGGAAAGACTTCGCGTCGAAGTTATCAGTGTCCGCGGCAACATGAGCCGAATCGCCGGAGCATCGGACGGAGAAAGGCTTCCGGTAAGGAATAGCTACTGATCTTCCGGCGAAGTTATCGGAACCTGTACGGATGCATAAACGGAATAGTTGAAGTGTAGTCGCCATTAGAGAGAGAGAGAGAGGAGTTAGGGGTGTATTGGCGCACGTTAGCGGAGAGAGTAAACAGAAATTTGTGAGGCTGGATGGGAAGTGCGCAATTTATCCTTCGACAAGTGTGATGCTGGTTTTCTTGTTTGCTTCTCGGGCTTTGTCGTTTTATTTGCAATGAATGGTCGTTTTGGATTAGCTCCCCTGTCGACGCGACACGTTTCCATGATTTGTTGTTTGGAAAGACAATCATCTTTCCAAATTATTACTATTATTCTATTTATTATTAGTGAGGTTTGTTTATGATAATTTAATTTATTTTTAAATTAAACTTACATCCTAAGCATATGTTAAACATGTTTTTTTAACAAGAATGAATAATTCTTGTTTATTTTTTAATCTTTTAACAATATATTATATAAATATATGTTAAATATTTTATATTTATTTTTAATTCAATTTTATATATTAATTTTGAGATTATATTATTTTTATTTTTAATTAATTTATTGTATCTTGATTAATATAGTCTTATATGTTTATTTTTATAATAAATATTAAAAAAGGATAAACTTTGTGAATAGTCCCCCATGTTTTCGGTCTGATCTACTTTGGTCACCAATTTAAAAATTAAGGGGAAATGGTCCTAACGTTATCAATCCGTTCAATTTTAATCCATAATGTTATCCATTCGTTCGATTTTAGTCCCTTAATCATTAACTCCCGCTCAATTTTAATCTCTCAACCATGTTAGGGACTTAAACAAAAGGGAGTTAATAAAAAATAATAGCAGAAGGACTTAAATGGGATAGATTGATAATGTGAGGGACCATTTATCTTTCACTTTTTAAATTGATGATTAAAGTCAATTGAACCCTACACAAAAACAACAATTTACATAATTTACCCTTAAAAAAATTGAAACCACAATAAAAGAAATAAAAGAAATCAATATTGAATATATGGTTTGCCAATGGGAGCAACAAGAAATAGGCAGCTCGCAATCCCGAGGGACCCATCATATCAAGATGGAGTGGCAGCTGCTGCCTCAAATCTCAATAATAAAGAAAAATCGAAACTTGATCCTGATGAACTTACAAAGTTTCCCAGAAAGCTTTGGCTTTTGTTCTATTATTACTAATATTATTGTTATTATTATTTGAATTAGAATTATTTTGCTTCAACAATGGAGAGTTGCTCTCTTCACTCACCAGCCATTACCATAGTGCCTTCATCTCTTTCCAGAGGTGGGTTCATTGAGAAACCTCTTGGATATGGTCGAATTCTCAAGCTTCCCGCTTCTAAAAGATTCCCAATTTCCAGAAAGTTCAGAACTTTCGATTTCAGGGTTCAAGCTTCAGGTAAATAAAGTTCCAAAATTTCCCATTTTTTGTTGGCAATTTCAAGCTCAAGCTTGTGCAATTTTGGTAGGACGTGAACAATGAACGTATAGCTGTTTGAATTGAATCATAGGTAACAATGCAGACTAGAGAACAACATCTATGATTGCATATGTAAACAATTAAGTGTATAGAATGTTTTCTGCTGTCTTTTTATCGAAAAAATCTGGATTAGACTATAATTGTAGCCAAATGAAAGAAGGGTTTTCAGTAGAATTGTGCCGGTAAAGCGATTTGCGTAGTAATGAACTTAAGTAGTCCTTGGATATGAGCTTGTTCGTTATGATTGATTCTTAGCTGGTAAATCAGATATAGTTGTGCTCACCCCCCTAACATTTATTCGTTGCCATATGGTTGTACATTTTCATTACTAGGAACAACGAAAATCGGCTCGGAGGTAGCTGGAACAATCTCGAACAAAACAGATTCAAAAGATGAGGATCTTGCTTTTGTTGCTGGTGCAACTGGCAGGGTAGGATCTCGAACAGTCAGGTTAAAAATTCTCTGGCAGCTTCACTTGAAATTTAAACAACCGGATGTGCAGTTTCTAAAATGTGCTAAGTTCATGATTCTTCAGGGAGCTTTTGAAACTTGGTTTTCGAGTTAGAGCGGGAGTTAGGAGTGCTCAGAGAGCTGAAAGTCTTGTGCAGGTTTCTGTTATTCTTGTTTAAGTATTGATCTTTTATTGTCTCTATTTCTAAGTTATGCTTATATTGAAGAGAAACTTGTATGCAGAGTGTCAAGCAGATGAAGCTCGATGCTGAAGGAACTACACGTAAGGAAAAGAGAGCCTAGGAACATCGATTCTTCGTACACTAAGATCTATTGTTTAAACCATATAGAAGGATAGTATTATAGCAACACTATAACCTTGCAATTCGATAATCATGCTCTCATAGCTAGTAACAGGCAATCTTTGTTCTTTAGACCAGCTGTAGAAAAGCTTGAAATTGTGGAAGTTGACTTGGAGAAACAAGATAGGATTGTACCAGCCATAGGCAATGCATCAGTGGTCATATGCAGCATCGGTGCCAGTGAGAAGGAAGTTTTCGATATTACTGGGCCATATCGCATCGACTACCAGGCCACGAAGAATCTTATTGATGCAGGTAAACAAAATGGATAACCGTTAGCATATCTGATAGTTTGCTTCTATTCTTGATATTGAGCTGAATCTTCTTCTATCTTTCCCTGGCGGAGCAGCAACTGTGGCAAAGGTTAACCACTTTATTTTGGTTTCATCTTTGGGAACAAATAAAGTTGGATTTCCTGCAGCTATTCTCAAGTGAGTCCCTTCTTTTTAAGGTTTACTTGCATAAAATTTTGACCTTATATATGCTTTATTTGAAATAGGTTGGAGCCAAGATTTTAGTGTTTTAAATTTTCCTTTTTTCCTTTTCTTTCGCATTTAAGTTTGTTTTGGGGCGTCCTTGTCTGGAAGAGGAAAGCAGAAGAAGCACTCATCGCAAGTGGTCTTCCCTACACTGTAAGCGCATCTAGAAATACCTGCAAATTTAGTAGATCACAAGCAGTGGAGAGGAATCATATCTGGATTTTATTACTCATCTTGAAGTGCCTGTTCAGATAGTTAGACCGGGAGGAATGGAGCGTCCCACTGATGCTTTCAAGGAAACTCATAATATCACACTATCCACTGAAGACACTTTATTTGGAGGCCTGGTTTCAAATCTTCAGGTGCATATACAAATGTTTAATATTAATTCTCCTATTGTGATTTTTTAAGCCTTTCTCACAATATCGATGAATTGAAGGTGGCTGAACTCATGGCCTGCATGGCCAAAAACCGTAACCTTTCATACTGTAAGGTGGTGGAAGTTGTTGCAGAAACAACTGCTCCGTTGAGACCTATGGAGGAACTTCTTGCAAAGATACCATCTAAGCGCGACTACATTTCCTTGACTAAGGTACTGTTACTCCTTTTCCTATACACAAACTACCTTAGTGTCTAATTAACTCTCCACCCTGATGTAAGCAGGAATCTGATACTCCCACTTCAGGACCAGCTAAGAGCATCGTAACTGAGAAACCAGCGGTAACAGATAAACCAAGTGCTGAACAGTTTGATACCAAACCAACACCAAGACCACTTTCACCTTTTGCAATGTGAGTTCCCCGGGTTTTCTTCTTTGTTTCTCTTTTGTTTAAATATGATTTCATGAATCCATTGACTACATAACAATGCCATATTGTTTCTCTGTGTGTGTGCGCGCGTGTGGTGACTTTATAGTCACTTATTTACCTTGTTGAACAACAGTCCTGCTACAGTTTTGGTTTGATTTCGTGTATGGACAGTTCTTCTTACCATGTCATTCATTGTGGCCCTCCAACTTTTGCAGGTATCCCGATCTTAAGCCCCCTTCATCACCATCTCCTAGAGCGCCGGCAACTGCACCGACGGACAGTGAGTCCAAAGGTGCTACATTGTCAGGAAACAGCACACCTCAACCTCCAGTAGCGGATAAACCAATTGATGAACAGCATGATACCAAACCAACACCAAGACCACTTTCACCTTTTGCAATGTGAGTTCCCTGGTTTTATGAATCCATTGACCTCATGACAATGCCATTAAAGTACGTTTCTATAATAGGAATATGCATAATACCAAACCCAAGATCATTGTGGTAATCGGATCTTCTCATGTAAATATAAGTGGCATTTTTTGTGATTTGAGTTTCTTGATGTATGTATCGTGTATGTACGTATGTAAATGTATATTAGACCTGCTAGCTTGCATACTCCAGAGCCATGGGACTCTCGAGTTGCCATCTTGATTTTTCTTTATTTCCTTCAATAAAATTACCAGGTACGAGGACTTGAAGCCTCCAACATCGCCGATTCCATCATCCCCAAGGAAATCTTAAGAGAAGAAACGACCAGTCAACTCCAATAAGGTTTGAGTTCAAATTCCTTGACATTTCGGTTTTCTTGAGGAACTTTAGTTGCATGGAAGTAATGATAAGTATATGATTGTAACAGAACCACGAAAGCAAATCGGAACTCACCACTCTAATCATGTGAAGCAAGCAAGCAATTTAACCTGCGGCAGTATTTTATGGAATTTTTCTTGTTATATGATGCTGAGATTGTGACACTATATTCTATATATATGTATATGCATTTGTTCCTTTCCTCCTTTGCCAATACTTTTGGACATTGCTTTATACATTTGTACCAATGTTCCGAAAACATATTAAGTTTGATACGAATGTATTTTATCTAAGGATGTTTCGAATTAGATGTTTTCCGACATCAGATGTTTTCCTTTTTCAAAGGCATATTTTTTTGTTCGAGGTAGCTTAGAAACCGAAAAAACAAAGTATGCACGTTACTTCCTATTTGCAATTCCCGCTCTCTATTTGAGAAAGGAAATCGGAGTCTGGATGCTGGGACTTGAGAAGATCTGTAGAAACTATATGAAGTGGTGATGTTGCATCTTTGATCGGGGAATACTGGGTTGGAATAGTGAGAAAATTTCAGTTAAACAGAAAGAAGAAAGCATTACGGTCTCAAACAACTCTAGCATACTTGTTCATCAAGAAAAGGAGCATATATGAACGTCTAGAACCAAGATCATCCTAACAGAACGAACCAGACCTGTATACATGTCCGATCATCGAACTTGTAGTTCTATCCGAGGGTATGATCATCGGACTTGTAGTTCCATCGGAGGGTATGATCATCGGACTTGTAGTTCCGTCCGAGGGTATGTCATTAGCTACTGTAAGTTATCGATGGATATCTGGATTACGCAGTCAGTCGGAAGTCCCAATAATCAGATACTAATCTTCGGGATGGCACTACGTGGAATTTCCAGAGTTTTGTATCCCTATTCTTAGTTTGTATTATAAAACTCTTTTTTAAAATAAATAATTTCAAATTTCTTTTTATAATTTTAAGTTTTTTAAATGGATAAACTACACATTTAGTACATAAATTATTACTTGTGTTTCGTTTTAATACCTAAGCTTTATTTTGTTTTAAAATCATATATAACGTTTAGTTTAGGTTTCATTTTGGTCCCCGATGTTAAAAAATTAATGGAACTGTTGCACTGTGACATTTTTATGGGAAAACTACGTCATTCATCACTCAATTATTTTCTCACTCTTATTTTGGTCGCTAAAATTTAAAAATTTCAATTTAACAACTCAACTTTTAAATTGCTCATATTTTAATTACTCTAATTTATTTTATTAGTAATTTTTTGACATAACATTTTTATTATATTTTATTAATATATAATTAAAATAAAAAAATAAATTTGAAAGTTAGAGTGACTAAATCAGGAGTAATTTGAAAGTTAAGTAATTAATTTGAAAAATGTAAACTTTAATGACCAGAATAGGAGTGAGAAGATAGTTAAGTGATAAATGATGTAATTTATCCATAAAAAAAGTGTCACTTCCGTTAAATTTTTAACGACAAGGTACTAAAACGAAACAAAAGTAAACGTAATATATGATTTTGAAAAAAAATGAAAGTTTAGGTATCAAAACGAGACAAAAGTAATAGTTTAGATACTAATATTTAGTTTAATTTTTTTAAAATTTAGGGTAAATTACATATTTAGTATCATAACTATCACTTTTTTTTCTGTTTTGGTCACTCAATTATTGTTGTTAAAAAAATTAATGTTTCTAACGATGATGTTGATGTGTGACTAGAAATTAATGTCACGTTATCATTGGAAAAAAAATTTAAAAATGTTACGTCAGTAGTTCTATTAACTTTTTAATGGCATGTGATCAAAATGAAATAAAAACATAACGTTAGATATGATTTTGAAAAAATTTGTTAGGTGACCAAAACAGAATAAAAGTGATAGTTGAGGGTACTAAACTTATAGTTTAGCCTTATATTTAAATACAAAGTCAAGTTCAACGACTCTATCCTCAATGATTACCCTTTTATCCTAAGCAAACGGTCGAAATCCCAGTCTTTTCTTTTAAATATACAAACTAGCCGTTATATTGTTTTTCATTGTAAAACCCCCCAAAACCTCATTCACTTTCACAATGGCATCACCGGCCAAGATTTCTTCTTCTCCGTCATCGTGTAAAATGAACTCTCATCTGAAAAAATCTGAACTCAACGATCCTACGAGAAGGAGTTTCAGTGGAAACCCTTTTGCGAAGCCGTCCGTCATCACGAATCGCAGAGCATTTAACCCGAGCACTCCGGCTAATAGTCCTTCAGGTTCCGTTTTCTTTTCTGGTTTCTTGCTTTCTTTCTTGGGTTTTATTTAGAAAAGTATTCATCTGCGTTTTCTAGGGCTCTAAACATTTTGGGTACGAAATAAAGGGGAATCGGTGCATTATTTGGTTGTTTATGTGGTTTGGGTTTTGAAGGAATTCAATTTTGGCCATGAATTTTTGTTAGAAGTATTAATCGTCAGGTACGAGAATCAGTAGGTTAAAAGAAATTTGTGTTGGGAACCGAAATAAAATTATAAAATTGTAGAGCCAAAGCTAAAAACTTTTTGTTAAAAGAGCTTAGATTGATTTTGAAAGGGGCTAGATATGTTATTTTTCCGTTTAACCAAGGTGTTGAAAAGACTTGCCTTGAGTTGTTAATTTTTAAAAGGGGCTAAAATTACAATTTTCCATTTTAACGAGAGTTACAGGGGCTTAAAATTTTAAATTTTGATTTTGAGGGATTGAGATTTGCAGTTTTCCCATCTAACCAAAGGGCCCCTGCATGTTTGGAAAATACACATTTTGAAGTTTGAACCATGATAGCTGATTCAAATTTAATTGAGTTCTAGTAGGAAGTTAGCAAGAATCATTGTTGGAGAAGTTGCAATGGAGATTTTCCTGGAAAACAAACAGTGCTAGTTATGGTTCTGACATACTGATGCTTTGTTTGTTTTACTTCCAGATTTTCCTCGAAGACATTCCACTAGCCGAGAAAGTGCAGCTTCTTTGCCTGATCATGGCAAGGAGAACGCTCGAGACTCGAATCTGAAACCGACGAGCATCAAATCACCTGCTCTTTCCAAGGGTAAGAAGAATTTCATGTCGCCAACGATCTCTGCTGCTTCTAAGATCAACACATCACCAAGAAAGCAAATTTTAGTCGAGAGAAATGAGCCAGTTCGATCTTCTTTTTCATTCTCCAATGTAAAAATCATAGCCATGGAAGATAATGAGTCAAAACCGGAGATTGGTCCGAACCAGAAGAAGGATTCGTTCTCTGATGTTGAAAGCATAATCATTGAAAGCCCTGAATCAACCCCAGATATTAGTTTGAACCAGGTCTCATTCTCTGATGTTAAAAGTGCCATTATGGAAGACACCAAGCCGAAACCGGAGATTGGTCCGAACCAGAAGAAGGTTTCGTTCTCTGATGTTGAAAGCATAATCATTGAAGGCACTGAATCAACCCCAGAGATTAGTTTGAACCAGAAGGTCTCATTCTCTGATGTTAAAAGTGTCGTTACAGAAGATACCGAGTCAAAGCCGGAGATTGGTCGGAACCAGAAGAAGGTTTCGTTCTCTGATGTTGAAAGCATAATCATTGAAGGCACTGAATCAACCCCAGAGATTAGTTTGAACCAGAAGGTCTCATTCTCTGATGTTAAAAGTGTCATTAGAGAAGATACCGAGTCAAAATCGGAGATTTTTTCCAACCAGAAGATGGTTTTGTTCTCCGATGTTGAAAGCACTGAATCAACCCCAGAGATTAGTTTGAACCAGAAAGTGACATTTGCTTTCAACAATTCAACTCTACCAAACTTGACTCATGATTCACAAATTAGTCACCATGAAAACAAGGAACCTTTGAAAAGCGACGAAGATTTTGATTATAAGGAGACTGAGAATGATTCTGATTCGGTACCAGAGACCGTTACAGAAGAAAAGGATTCAGTTAAAGTGGATCCGACCTTCAAGATTAGTCCTAGAGATCCAATCTCACCTTCTTCTCCTGTTTCAGCCCCATGTGGTCTGGAACCATTGATGGTTCCTTATGACCCTAAAACCAACTACCTTTCTCCGAGGCCTCAGTTTCTTCATTATAGACCGAATCCTCGAATCGAGCTTTATCGGGAAAGAGAAAGCATGCAGTTCGATGAACTCTTTGCATCTGAAAGCTATTCAGACACTGATGCTACTGCAGAAACACCGACCGAAGGTTCACGAAGTGATTCGGAGGATATTTCTTCAGGAGAAACAATGGAAGAAGAAGAAGACGAGGAGGAGCTTCATGTATCTGATCCAAACCCGAGTTTGAAGGCTAAAAGAAAGTCTAAGCCACGTTTTCCCACCGAACCAAAGTTCATTACTTTGCTTCTGTTTCTGGGTTTTGCTTGCTTTTCAGTTCTAGTGGTTAATTATCCAGCCTTTACTCGTGGAATAGAAGAAATAAGCAACTATCAGGTCCCGCAAGAAGTTTCAGAATTTGCGAAAGCCAACTTCGGTCGTTTCACTCAGAATCTACAGCACTGGTCAGCTAGCTTTTTGTCTTATGTTTCAGACATCGATTCCGGTTCAAGAAAAGTGCACAAACTGGGTACCATTCAGTATGCTAATTTGAGCCAGTTGATGGAGGATCATATAGTTGAGGGGCAACTAATGTTTGACTCCAGTTCATTGGAGCCGATATGGGAGAGAGATGCTGGAACCGAACTACTTGATGACAAGCACTATCAAGAGATTGAAGCATATGAGGTAGTAGATGAAGATGATAATGAACAAGAAGACGAGAGTGAAGCTTCTGAAACCCCAAAACTAGTTACGGAACAACCTGATGCAGTGCAACAAGGGGTTGGGTCTGAAATTATTGAATCGGATCATTTAGAGGTAGAAGAAAGCAAAGAAGCTGAATTTGCTGGTCAGATGGAAGCGGAACATCAGAGCAATGTTGAGAATGAAAACCAGCAACGCGTAATCACACCGCAGGCTACTGAAATTCAACATGATAAACCTGAAACTGATGACCCCGAGGGTGGCTTGAACATCGTTGAAACGTTGTTCCCCGAAGAAGTGAAGTCTGAGGATCTCAAAACTGAAGATTCCATCGATGACTCTCAAAGTTCTGGAGATGTAGATATTACAATTAATGGGCAGGCTACTGAAATTCAACATGATAAACCCAAAACTGGTGACCCTGAGGGTGGCTTGAACATCGTTGAAGCGTTTTTCCCCGAAGAAGTGAAGTCTGAGGATCTCAAACTGAAGATAACACCGACGATTCTCAAAGTTCTGGAGCTGTAGATATTACAATTAATGGACAGGAAGAACAATTTCTCTCAAATAATGTGATGGGTTTTGCTTTACTTGTGTTGTGTCTATTAGTAACTTCAGCTTTCATCTACACAAAGAGAGGAAAGCCCTCCATGCCAAATGCTTCTGTTCTGTGTCAGAAATCCGAATACAGACCGGTTTTGGTTGACTCCAAGGATACAATCCTCGAAAAGGTATCCTCCAGGAATTGGCAGACAGAAGTAGATATGGCTGATGAATCATGCCCATCAGAAATGATGAGTAGCTATGCAAAGACCTCATCATATTACAGTAACAGACTCAAGGAATCAAACGAGCCATGCCGATCGGAAATGAGTAGCTCTGAGAGGACCTCGTCATCTTACAGCAACAAGGGAGGCAAGGAATCAAATCAATATCAGAGCCAAGAAAGGAAAACTAGGAAGACCTACAGGAGAGAATCTCTTGCTTCATCAGATTACTCTATGGGTTCACCTTCCTACGGCAGTTTTACCACGTACGAGAAGAAACCTAGCAAGCACGTAAGTACATCATAGCTATCTTTGTTATTCTTGTTCAAAAATAAGTTTCGGTTTCTTACACTTTCTGGATATATTTTTTGTTTTGAAGGGTGGAAGAGATGACGAGATAGTTACTCCGGTTCGACGTTCAAGCAGAATCCGAAACCAGGTTACATCTCCATGATGATGATTGAAAAATTATATCTTATGTTTGTAACAGTTGCACTGCTTTGCAATTCTAGTGTGACTGCTCCACTGTCATTAGATGCTGACATAGATTAGATTAGAGGTTAATCGTACTGTGAACAAATCTCATTCTTCTTTAATCAAAACCAAATTAGGCTTTCACCAACAGTCATCGAGACATCAACTTAACGTATCGAAACTATTAAAACGAGCTCGTATCAGCACTTTCTTAAAGAAATATATATAGTACTTGGATTGTATAATCCATAACAAGAAGCCTGTAATCCAATCATTTATGATGAAAAGAACTAAGAGAACTGATTCAGCAGCCTGTAATTTGCTTTATATCAAAATTTAATGGCAACTAAAAGCACCCATACATACACATTAGTGACTTGAGCAAAGGACAATCGTACCAGTCAGTAACTATGGAGGTTAAAAACTATTTTCAGTTTTTGTCAGTTCATCCATACTCCGAGCCACACTTTGAGTCGGTACTTCTTGTATGATAAATGTTTGTTTCGAAACTAGTTATCAACTAATTCACGAGCTTCCTGTACTTGCTCTTCATGAAAGTCAGCAGAAAATCCGTAAAAATGGCCTCATAATCTGGTATTTTGCCGTACCCTGAAAGAGCACATGAAAAGAAAAGTGATTAAACTCAATGCATCACATTAACGGTCGCAAAACCAGCCAAAAGTTGCAAAAATGTCCTCCATCTCCATCTACTGACCAGGGAAGTAGTTAATGTCGATTACATAAAAGATGTCTCTTGTCCCATGCTCCCGGATCATATCTATATTGAACAATCGAAGACCCTGTGAAAGTACAAAAATGTATAATTAACTACATGCACTGATTAAAATCATACAACTCCTCTGCCTAGCTTGATATCATGAAGTAAATAACTTGCCAGCCGGTGACGGAGCTCCTTTGAAAGTCTCTCCAGCAATGGCAGAGGAGGAAGTTCTGCAACAAAAATGAAGAATAATTATACAAGGTATGAAGGAAATTTGAATTCGAGTTCCATATACGGAACATGTATACATGCTTATCGTATAATAGTCACATACCAGCAATGTGAGGGTCCAAATCTGCATCATCAGCAGAAGCAGCAGCCGATGAAACCCGCGGAAAAGGAAAAATACCAGGAACTTTTGCAAGCTGACATTTGGTGACGTTGGGAAGAGAAAACCGCCTTACGACCTTAATGGCATCCCCAACTATGTAAATTTTAAAAAGAATACCGCCTGTGATGAGACAACATATTATATTCGAATAACTAGTAAAAATAAGGCTAAAGAGATAACAGTGAGGTTCACGAATCCACTGTGACAATGTACCATGGTTCACAAACTCTGTAGAACCAATGGAGGCTCGAGTTTAGACAGAGAGGACCAATCATACAAAAGAAACAGCTCGTGGGACTTGGCACTTCCATCCACTAGTAGCGGTTTAGCAACTGAAAGGATGAAATAAAACATGTATAGACAGAACAAACAATTAGAAATAATTCCCCCTGTAGTTCATGTGTTAAGTTCATTAGTATCCATGAATATACAGCTGTTCTTATCTAACAACGTGGCGGTTGCAAGCCGATTTCATATTATTTAAGGGGAAATGGTGTCTGAACATTAAAACCAGATACAGAGGCTAACCACCAAAACCAAAAAATAGAAAACAGAAGATACCTAAGGTAACTTAAAGCCAGCTTTAGCAACTTCATCGGGGATGGATAGTGGATCTTTCATGATAACCATTTGTCTCGGAACACAAACTCTCCCTACAACAACAAAACAGCCATGATTACCAAGCAACCATGTTTCCTACAAGTGCTATAGTTCGATGCAGTAATACCGCAATTACCATAGAAGTCTGACAAGTTTAAATCAACCACATTCTGGAGCATTGAGTGGCGATTGTATACATGCTGTATAGCATCTGGAGGATCAATAACAGCTACTTCTGGATGTGTTTGTCGGTAATCCTTCAAGAATAAAAATATATATCATAAAAACTCGGCCATGTTTTACAGCAAGCCATAAATCCGAAAACTTTTCCTGTTTTTCAGCAGTTTCATGTGACAAACAAAGGAACTACAGGAAGATGAATGGCTCCGTCAAAGTGTCAGATCAAATTTAACCGATTTCCTCCAAACAGAGATGAAATTGCCGGCTCTAAGACATGCATCAAGTGTCGTGAAGGATAATATTTGTAAAACATATCTACCAGCATCATCATTAGAATGCTGTGTTTGAATAGCTCGGTGCATCGAGCAACATGAACTAAATGAATGTGCTCACTAGAAATCAAGGATGAACACCCAAAAGCTTCTTAAGATTTCGAAACTTCAAGAAACGAAGCAATTGTTGAGAGCAAGAATTATGCATACTATCAGGAAAAAAAAGGTTTTAAGGCTAAGGGGATTTGTTGTTGAACCAAAAACGTGGCAGCTTCCACATTTAATCTCCGAGGAATGTGTTGCATCAATTCACAGCAACAGTTGTAACTCAAGGAAATGCATCACTGCATATTCAATTCTTTGTCTAATCCAAAATGAATGAATGGAGAATGATCTTGGAAGGACAAACCTCGACAATATCGATCCACTCCTTCCCCGACAACTGGAGGAAGCATAAAAGCCATCAGTCATTTACTCAAGGTTTGAGATAAACGAAAGACACTCAAAATATTAACCTATAATCTGCCTACAAAACCAGAATCATTGCTGATAGGAAGACCTATAAAACTGCTTCAACCGTTTCATAAATAGTCAGAAGTTACACTAACCTTGTGTAAAATAATGTCAAAAGGACCCTGATCCGACAGTGGTCGGTTCACATCGATGGCGACGAACGATATCCCCTTTTTGCTGCACCAACCATAAAGATATTCTAATGAGCATTCTTGAACGTCAATGCAGAAATAACCAATTCAGTAAGTTCCTTGCTAGTTAAATGAATAAAGGTCATCCATGTGAGACTCTCGACCTCATTCGACATGTATACTCCTAGCTAAGAAACAAAGAAAATCTGGGACTAGTTTGATCTTGGCCTGGTTTTTCAAGTATCAAAGATAAAAGAAAAGCTCAATTTATAAATTATGCATACATGTTCACACAAAGGGATACAATAACATAGATACACTACAGAGATAACTAAAGCCAAATGCAATACTAGGGGGACCATGCAACTCAAATCAGACATGTTAAAGCCATTTTCTACATCTATACGCATAAAAACAAAGTCATCAATTCAATAGACATACATACATTCATATATATATATATATATATATATATATGGAAAGTGAAGTGGAAATTGGAGTAATGAGTAATATACCATGCCAAGCGCTCAAACTCTGGTTGCAAGAAACTCTTTTTCTTCTTCAATGTCAAAGCATACCCAACAACAAGCTTCTGCTCTTCTTCCTCCTCACCTTCTGCATCAAAGTGTTCCCCCTTTAACCTCATATCTTTTCTCTTTTCTTCTTCTTTTTTTTTGGTTTCTGGGTTCTTCTTCCCTTTGCCAACCTCTTTCTCTGGGGATTGCTCTCCAAGAAATGACACAATCCCTTTCTCCTTAGAATTCTCTGCAACTAAATATGTACAAGTCTCTCTGAAATGGGAGTTTCAGAACCAAGAACACAAGGAAACAAATTTGGGTATTAGATTGTTGAAAAAAATATTCAGTTTTTTTTGCAGAAACAAAGATAAGGAAAGATTGGGTTTTTGGGGGAAAGAATAGAACTTTGAGTGTAAAATACTGAGATAAACAAAACTCTAGCACTAGGATTTGATGCACAAGCATTGCTTTTTGTTGATTATATATATAGAAAGAGGACAGGTTAGCAGCAGATGAAGGTTTGGAAAGTATAATATTCCCATTTTACCCTTACCATCTCCATCACTTGCGGGAAAATTTCAACCATGTTGCAGTTTGGCTCAAGTAATCATCATAATCAACACTAATTATTCCCATATTCTTAATACATTATATTCTACGCTTATTCCATTAACAAAAAAGAACATACCATGAGCATTAGATATCAAAATTATTATTATCATATGCACTCTGATAGGAGATTTAAATAATTATCTTTATATAATAATAAATGTATCATCCAAAATCATTATTGCACGACTGTTATATTCGTGATAACTACAATAACATTTATTATTATTACAATCGCGATAAACACAACCGTAATTTAAATCATCGATTCTGACCAATTCCTTTGTTCCCATCAACTCTTTTCAAGTGGGGTATTAGGTTTGGAATTTCTGTTAACAACTCGAAAGCATTAGTTCTTTCAAAGTGGAGGCACAAAGAACAACTGCAGAATCATATCCACTGCTTACATATATTATATATATAGAGAGAGAGAGTTGATCTTCAAAGTAAGAATATATCTTGTCATTACATCGAAACGATGGTTAATTACACCGTTAATGCAGGCAAAAGTGAAGGGAAATCTTTGACTTATGACAATGACAATGACAATGACAAGTTAGTGGATAGTATTGTGGAAGACCAAAATGGGTGAGAAAAGAATGTCATGTGTCACAAGAATTCTATGCCATTTATAACTTACTATGGAATATGCTTTTCATATATATTTGCAGAGAATATGCTTAGTGGTGGAGTTTGGCCAAATTAAATGAAATTCAAATTAACTCTGATTTATCTATACATACACTGCAGATAATATATATATATATATATATGAACTTTTAGACTTTCTTTGAGCAATTGAAAATTGACTTGAATATATAGGACACAATTATACTATTAACTCAGGTTGAACATTTTTACCCTGAATCCGAACTTAATTCGACCTCAATATTCGTAGAACTCGATCAGATCTAATCGAAATCCAAATAAAAATGACTATACAATTAAATTAAATCAAAATATATAAAACTACCATCCTATTTACTTGAAGGACCACATAAAACTCTTTACCTTGTTTTTAAATTATTATATTACAATATGGATAATATCACGTGCCATTAAAACTAGTTAAATCATTAGTTAACCTAATTATGATTAAATGAATGGGCGATGGCAGACAGTATCTAATAACGATATTTTATGTCTTAATCTATAAAACAAAAGCAACAGAGGATAGCATTCTCTTATCCAAAACCATCCATTCTAAATTATTATTTCAGCCAATTAATTAAGATTAATTATCTTCCAAAACACTCTCCACACATTGTATTTCCTTTGGATTAATAAGTGATACTATACTTTTTTTGGAATAATGTGATAATATACTTTTAAAAGACAACTATATTTAAATCTTATTAAATAAATATAAAATATATAAAAATGAATAAATATATAAATATAATTATGGGATATATTATAAGTGATAGAATCATTCATGATACATGTGCCTAAAATAAGTTAATTTTTTTTGCGGCCACACGTTTTTTTACGAGTCATGATGTTTCACCAAAGGAGTGCACATTTTTCACATTTTACTTTTTTTTATCATTTCACCACAAATTTAGTTGATATATTTTTTTATTGTTAATTAATTAATTAATATATATATATAAGAGTTAGGGTGTATCTACACAGTGTAAAATTATTTAGTTTTACAGTAATTTAAGATAATTGGATTAATTGTCAACAATCTCTAAAATATTTCGTTAAAAACTATCAGTTAATGCCTCTTCTTTCCCTTAAGTAGTGGCTTCGATACTCATTAGGAGCAAAATTCCCATCCCTCTCCCCTTAGGAAGAAATTGTTCAAAAAAAAAGGATAATTGAATTTAATGATTGCAATTAAAACTTCTAAATCGAAGATAATCATTTTTCCCGTGAAATTCTCATTTTTTAATGTTAATCTTAATCTTTCATTTCAACTAATCCAACAGTCTTAAAAAATAAAAATTTTATTTTTCTCAATAAATCATATCTCTATCTGTATATATATGTTGAAGCTCAACATCTCGAGACTCATTGATCTTTATATGATAATGATGGTTTCGAAATGAAAATCATCTTCACCATCTTTATTGTATATAAGTCAAACCCACTCAATCAATTGGAACCCTCTAATGTATTCTCCTCTTTGTTATATGGTCTTGAGATGTTGAACTTCAACATCTCAAGACCCGTTGATCTTTATAAGAACAAAGGAGGGTTCTGGCTCTCCAAAAATAATAATTCGTCATTGCACGTTTTCACTCGATTTATATTGATTCCACCGCACAAATCAATTTTCTTAAGTGGTTATAGGAATTATTGTTGTTCCTATAGACCATGAGTTCAAGTACCAACAACTACAAAGGTGGTTGAGTTGTTCATTGTCAAATGGTTGAAAGTGAGCAAAAATTACTTTGTAATCACTTGATTAGCTTAATAAAAAAAATAGAATGAAAAATTATTTTTTTGACTTCTACATCAACGCATGTCAACACCAAAACTAAAACATCATCGCGCCGTTTCAAATTTTATATTTTAAATGCTCAATATTAATTATGTCATTATTCTTTGTTTGTAACACTTTGACCCTTAACATTTTACTTCACAACAAAATGATCATTGATCGGATAAAAATTATTAATTGATTAAATAGTCAATGTTCTTCGTTAACATGATTTATGTATCCATAGTGACGATGTGACATGTCATCTCTCTAGACACGTGACACAGGTCAAACCATCACTCGTATAAACATAACATATGTCATTTCATCACTCTAAAATGTGTCACATCATGATTTATGTGCATATGATATATATTATGTCAGCATTTTTAACACATATAAGTCTGATCATGTCAATAAAAAGTATTGATAATTAATTAATTAATTAATATTTTTCATCTAATCATAAATCATTTTAGTTCTAAATAAAACATTGAAGATTAATATAATTAAAAAGTAAAAGTAAATAATTATTTAATAAAACTTGTCTGTATATATATATGTGCCTTTTATTAAATGGTAAAATATTATTCTCCATCCTTCGCGTACACGTTAATATTGTTGTTAAGTCACTAATAAGTTGGAACCAATCATTCCTCCATATTTTTAACGTGGGGACAATGTTGACATTTTATTGGAATTTTCGTTATCGGCGAACCAATAATTTAGATAGCTATAAAAAATAAAAAGGTAAATTACATCAAATGTCACTTATTTATTACTTAATATTACAACTAGGTCATTTAACTTTTAAAAGTTATAAACTAATCATTCAATTAATCAATGTCACAAACATATCATAAGATCATTAATTATCACGTGACTTTCTAACATTGAATATTTTATTCATTAAAATATTAAATTTTGACCATGTTAATCGACATCGATCATCGTATATAGTGCCTGATGAACCTCAAATTTCACGATAAGATTCACCTTAATCTCCTAGTTCAATCATCAAATTAGATTCTAAAGAATTTGTTTCAAAAGCCATAAAATCATCTCAAAACTTTTGAACTTCTTGAACCATATTCTATGTCATCCACCATCAAATGTCCTTCGTCTCAATATATGTACTTTCTCTCACCAACGACAGCCTCTTTATCATCTAAGTCATCGAATAGAGCCCCTAACTTCAAGAAACTCAGAGTTTTATATTTCGATTTTCTTTTTCAACTAATTGAGTAATTCGTTTATGACTTCTAAAAAACGAGTGACCTATTTGTATATTACTAATAATTGGCTGACCCATTTATATTCTTACTTATAATTAAATAATTTGTAATGCAATTTATCCAATGAATAAATTATTAATAAAACATTTCCTTAATGGAGCCTTCTAAATTTTTAAAGACATAGTGATACGTATGTGACAATTCATTAATTAAGTGACTCATATATAATTTTTAAACTTAAATGGTTTACTTATAATCTTATTAGAAATTGAATGACTTATGTATAAGTTTACCCCCAAAATAAAAATACAAGCCCATACCAGAGTTACCGGCAGAAATCATAAATGGATAAATTGAAAAAAAGAAGATTATTTATTATTCCTTAAAATAGTATATATAATTATAGATTTAATTGTTATATTTTAATTTGATTAATCTTAGTTAATGTATTTTATAATCTCATATTCTGTCATTGGTTATTATATTTATAATTTTTAGAGAAAAATTATAAACAAGTTACTCAATTAAAATATTGTTACAAATAATTTTAGTTCTTAAAATTTATACAATCTATCAATTTGGTCCTATTTCAAAACAATTCAATAAATAAATTTTCTATATTTAAAAATTGATCATTTTAGTCTTTGTTCTCCTAAAATCATATATGTTATGTTACTTTTATGTTACTTTTTAGGTACGATAACTTATTGTTGTTTTATGGTCAAATGTAATTATCCAACTGATTTTTTTGATTTGATGGACTCGTTTGGTTTGATTATATCATAAAAAAGATTAAATTGATGAAATTTTCAAATATAAAGATTAAGTTTATTGAATGAATTTTAATTGAAACAAAATTGATAGAATATAAAGAGACTAAAAATGTTATTATAGAATGCCAACGTTTCAATTTTAACGATGAAGTGATCTATTTGTAATAATATTTTAATTATGTGACCTATTTATAACTTTTAGAAAAAATAAATGACCTGTTTATAACCAAACACATGATTGAGTGACTTGGATTATATTTTACCATTTAATAATCTTCTAGACGGTGAAAAAGAAATGGGTCAGATGATAGCTACGCCCACGAGGCCCAACTGGCATCGCGCACCTCTCTGCCGCGTAGAATAGTAACAAAATGCCCTTTCATTTTAACGTACGCTCTGAAGGATACACTAGTAAACGACCACCACATCCTCGCCGCCACTTGCAAAGTTGAAACTCACTTTGCTTCCTCAATAATTTACAAAAAAAATCCAAAAACAAAACATAAAAATTCTTTCCCATTCTTGTACTCAACTGTTAGTTAAAAGAAATCATCTAAAATTTATAGTTTCTTGGACAAATAGAAGTTATGTTTCTATTATAGTTAGTTATTTAAAGCTTTAATGCAGAGAAATTAAGGAGAAAATATAAAATATATGGCTTCTCTACAGATATCGAACCCTGTGTTTTCTTCCATTTCAATTTCCCAGTCAAATTTTCCTGGAAAATCTGAATCCAGGAACAGAATTCTCAAGTTTCAGAGATGTAGAAGCCGCAGGTCCCTCCACAGCCAAAGATCTAGAATCTGTTGTGCCACTGAAGAAGGTGACAACAGAAGTAATGGTATGTTCTTTCAATTTCCAAAGTTCTTAACTTTTTTTTACCCATTTTAATCGTATCTTTTTCATCTTACTTTGATTTCATTGATTCTGAAACTAAACTAATACAAGTCCTTCAAAAACAAGTACAAAAGCGCTGAATAGATGAATCCTTTATATGTACTTTTCGAGTTTGCTATGAGAGTGACTTACTCATTTGGTTGTTTAATTTGCTAGAAAATTCTGGTTAATTGGCTGCTTATTAATCTCTATGAGGGTTTATGAATTGGGTATTCCTTTTTATCTTTGTTTCTGAGCAGGTGAAGAACCGACTGAGTCACTGTTTATGAAGGAGTTGAAGAGGAGGGGGATGACACCCAATTCATTGCTGGAGGACACCAAAAAACCCAGATTGGATGAGGAGATGAAAGTAGGGGAAGAAGGAGGAAGCGTCTCGAAAAGAAATGCTGTGTCCACTGAATTCGACAAAAGCTTATCTAATCAAAGGGAGCGCTCGATGGAATTGAACAGCGAAGGCCTTGAGGTTGATTGATTTTGCTTTATTGATTTCAAACCTTAAGCACTATCTTTCTTAAACGGTTCGTGTGCGCTAATACGGTTCATCTTGCTTATGAAAACTTATCATTGCATTAGCTAGATATACATAGTTGTACTTTAGTCCTTAATATGCAGTATGAATTGTTATGTTAGTTTCCTAATCTGAAAAAGCTAGATTTAGGGTGTTACCTCAGGGTTGCTTCTTTGCGTGAATTTTGAAGGAATTCGATAACCAACTTTCCCGTAACGTACTTTTTTGCATCCCCGTGCCGTTATTTTACCTGATATTTATAACTATCTTGCTTATGTTGACTGCAAAACTTTAGCACAACCATTCTTCGAAGATTTTGTTAGTTGCCTTTTCTTTTGTGTGCTAATATGCTTTATCTTGCTAATGAAAACTTGACATTGCATTAGCTAGTTATAGATGATTGTACTTTACAAAATTTTGTGCAGTGTGAATTTTAATGATAGCTTCATAATCTGAATGATCTACATTTAGGGTGTTGCCTCGGATATGTTTCCTGGCGTGAATTTTGAAGGAAAACGAGAAACTGCTCATACCTTTTTGGTGATGTTATTGAACATTGAAGAACTGACACAAACATTCTCTCTTTGTACTTTATGATGCGATGAACTTAATCTAACAGCATTCTGTTTAGTTGAGCGGTTATATCACCGACTCGATCTCTGTTTCGTTTGATATTAATTTGTTCATATAAAACTAACTGTTTCGTCATGGTGTGATCAATAGATGTATTGTGTTTATTTCTGTTTCTGTATCTTAACTGTGAACAATTGATGTGTTCATTCATTTTTTGTTACTTTTCATATTTTCCAACGTGGCCGAGCTAACCCATACATCTAACTCGTGAACTTGAGAGATGAGAACTGAAGTTCATATTGTTCATTGTTCAGGGGCTGATTCCGCGGGCTAAACTGTTGCTAACACTCGGGGGAACTTTCTTCCTCAGCTTTTGGCCTTTTATTCTCGCAACCATAGTGTTTTTTTCCGCTCTCTACCTCGTAAGTTCCCTTTCGTTCGCTCTTCGATTTGAACTCTAGGAGAAGTACACTTATAGACGGAGCTTCCCTGCCTTGCAAATGTTTTTCTTTATCACCTTGAACAATCACCTCAGCTTTCGATAAAAGCTATATGCTAATGATGGTTTCCCCTTGGGCAGTATTTCGGATCATCTTTCATTCACGACGGAAGTATAACCCCTGTTGCACCGCCGCAATACATAGATCCGTATACGCTTCTCGAAGATGAAAGGATATACCAAACTCCCCCCGACATAAATTGAACAAGTGTTCCACCATACAAGAAAATTTTCTTCCATCTCCTGTAATTATTTATTTGTAAATATGTAAGCAAAAGTTTGGCTTCAATCATATATATGGCTAGAGACTAAAATGGCATTATATAAAATGAAATCTATTGCGTTCCATATTTTCGTTCAACAGAGTAAAACAACAGCATAGGTACTATATGAGCTTCGAAGAATCAAAGTTGACACAATACTCGAAAACATACATAACAGAACTAATCACTGGGTCGCCAAAAGCAAGCCCTTACTCAAACCTAATTGTTTAGTATTCATCATTGCTTTCCTCATCACCCTCTGCTGACTCAGCACCAACTTCCTCATAATCCTTTTCCAGTGCAGCAAGGTCCTCACGGGCCTCCGAGAATTCGCCTTCCTCCATACCCTCACCAACATACCAGTGAACAAAAGCACGCTTGGCGTACATGAGATCAAACTTGTGGTCGATGCGGGAGAACACCTCAGCAACACTAGTCGAGTTGGATATCATGCAAACAGCTCTCTGGACCTTAGCAAGATCACCACCAGGAACAACGGTGGGTGGCTGGTAGTTGATGCCGCACTTGAATCCGGTGGGGCACCAGTCCACAAACTGAATGGTGCGCTTGGTCTTGATGGTGGCAACGGCAGCATTGACATCTTTGGGCACAACATCACCACGGTACATCAAACAGCAAGCCATGTACTTGCCATGACGAGGATCACACTTGGCCATCATAGAAGAGGGTTCAAAAGAACTGTTGGTGATTTCAGCAACTGATAGTTGTTCATGGAAAGCCTTCTCGGCAGAAATGACTGGAGCATAAGAGGAAAGCATGAAGTGGATTCTTGGGTAGGGGACCAAGTTGGTCTGGAACTCTGTTACATCGACGTTCAATGCACCATCGAACCTTAGTGAAGCAGTCAAAGAGGAGATCACCTGAATCACAAGGAAATATATGTTAAGCCAAACCATTAACACAAAGACAACATAACAGCTGTGGATTTTATGATACCTGAGAGACAAGACGGTTAAGATTAGTGTAAGTGGGTCGCTCGATGTCAAGAGAGCGCCTACAAATGTCATATATGGCCTCATTGTCAAGAAGTACGGAGACATCAGTGTGCTCCAAAAGAGAATGAGTTGAGAGAACACTATTGTAGGGCTCAACAACAGAAGTCGAGACTTGAGGAGATGGGTAGACTGTGAAACCCAGCTTAGATTTCTTGCCGTATTCAACAGACAGACGCTCCAGAAGGAGAGAACCAAGACCAGATCCAGTGCCTCCACCAACAGCACTGAAAACAAGGAACCCTTGAAGACCAGTGCAGTTATCAGCAAGTTTTCTGATACGGTCTAAACACAAGTCAACAATCTCCTTGCCAACTGAAACAAATAAACCACTTATTGTTAGTGCCTGTAAAGCAGATTAACAGAATGATGGAATAGGGTTTTAAGAATTTACTGGTGTAGTGGCCGCGGGCAAAGTTGTTGGCTGCATCTTCCTTGCCGCTAATGAGTTGCTCGGGATGGAAGAGCTGGCGGTAAGTTCCGGTCCTCACTTCATCAATAACAGTAGGCTCAAGATCAACAAAGATAGCACGAGGAACATGCTTTCCGGCACCAGTTTCACTGAAAAAGGTGTTAAAAGCATCGTCGCCTCCTCCGACAGTCTTGTCACTTGTCATCTGGCCATCAGGCTGTTAATAGACACGTAACAGCTCGTTATTTCAAAGATAAACAAACAAGTAAAAAATTTGCATTGTTCTGAGATAAACTTAGCACTAGACATGCTTTACGTTTCCAAAAATAAAATCCAGATTAGAAGCCAAAAAAATGTCACTGACAGTGGCAGATCCGAGAGAAAACGAATTCAAACAATCATCTTAGCGGCTCTGACCACTCACGGTACCAGATTCGAGAGAAAATAAAGCCAAACATGACAGCGAAGACTTTAAATTCTCAGATCTAATGAAAAATCAAGCAAATAACTAAAAGCACACAATCAATCTAAGCAGGTCTGAACAAAATGAAGTTAAATATATCATTATATCTACACGGAGAAACGAAAAATATAGATCGTAATCAAAACAAAAAGGGCGTCAAAGGATGCAAGAGAGATACCTGGAGTCCATGTTCGAGGCAGTAAAGCTCCCAGCAGGAATTTCCGACCTGGATACCGGCCTGACCTATGTGGATTGAAATGCACTCTCTCATTTTCGTCTAAAATTTTTCGAAAACAAAGCAACGGAGACAGGAAGGTGGAATTTGAATCGAAGGCGTTTATTAAGACACCTCCGGATAGAATTTGAATTTGAAATGTGATGAATGATAAAGGAGTAGATATGAGTATTTATATGGGGAGCGTGTGGGACAATTACATATACTTGAGGGTAGGGGTGTGGTTAAATTAGGGCAGAAATGATCACGTGGTAGAATTTTATTGGTCTTTTGTCAACCATGGTTATTTGCATTTTCCGTTTTTTTTTTAAGTTTTTGAATTTTGCCGCCCATTGGATTGAGTTGTTGCAAACGTTCCTTTTACCAAAACTGCTTTTCTATTGAAAAAATAAATTTTAAAATTGGCAAAAGGGAATACCATGCCCACTTAAAAAAAAAAAAAAGTGACTCTCATATTATTTTTTTAATATGATATTTTTAATTAAAAAAAATTAATGTGATTATTTGACCAACATTTTTCGTCTTTGATAAATGATTTTGTTACTTCTTATTGATTGGGCACGTCAAGGATGTCGTTTGCTTAATGCTATCATAAATGGGTAAACTATACTATTTATCTTTCAACTATCTTCTCTTTCCTATTTTGGTCATTAAACTTTAAAAAAATTCAATTTAATCATTCAACTTTTGAATTGCTCCTATTTTAATTAACATTACTTATTTTATTAATATTTATGTATGATGTGTCATTATTATTATTATATTAATATATGATTAAAATAATATTAATTAAATTAAAATTTCAAAATTGTATTTAAATAAAAAAAATATTCCTCAAAACCTTAAATCACAACTCCGATTAACTTTTTACTTTTTTTCTCTTCAATGACGAGAAAACAACAAAAATCAACCTGACATTAAAAAAACAAGACACTAATAGCAAAAAATGAAATGTAGAGAAAATATGTTAATTGGGATTGTTATTTATGGTTTTGAGAAATATTTTTTGATTTAAATACAGTTTTGAAAATTTTAATTTAATTAATATTATTTTAATCATATAGTAATAATAATAATAATAATAATAATAATAATAATAATAAATGTCATACATAATATGAATAAAATAAGTCATGGTGATTAAAATATGAGCAATTCAAAAGTTAAGTAAATAAATTGAGATGAATGATGTAATTTAACCATCTATAACAACATTAAATAGAAGGCACTGAGTATGAATTAACGGAATCGTTGGTCATTGACATAAAATGTTAGTTAAAGAGTCATATTGGGTTTTTTTTAGTTGAATGGTCATGTTGAGAGAAAAAATAATATGAGTGTCAAATTGATTATTTTTTAAATAGGAGCTTCACGTACCCTTTTACCTTTAAAATTTGACGGAAAACATAAAAAGTTAGTATGTATTGATTTTTTTATATCGGTTTAACATTATTATACTTTAGATGATGTATTATTTTTATATTATTTAACTTTTAATTATTTTAATTAAAATGTTAAATTATTATTTTTATTTTAAAACAGTCCTACAAAACATTGCAAACTTTTGGTGTAGACAGTTCATGCTGCCCCCAATCTGTTATCAACAGAGTTAATCAGCTTTGCTCAAGATACCTTTGGAAAGGCTCTGACACATAAGCCTTTGGAGCAAGAGTTAGTTGGTGTTTAATCTGCAGACCCAAATCTGAAGGAGGGTTAGGCTTAAAAGACTTGAAAACGTGGAACAAAGTCAGCATGATGCAACTTATTCGTTATCTCCTTGCTGGTTAAGGTTCTTTATGGGTTGCATGGACTCTTTCTTATGTGATCAAGACTAATGATTTTAGTCACATGTCTCCGACTGCTTCTACAAGTCATACCTTCAAAAGACTATTGAAGCTGAGAAATGAGGCTCTCCCCATTCTTAATGCAGGAGTTACGAATACCAAACTAATATGGGGAAAGACTATACTCAAGCATGACAAAGTTGCATGGCATAAACTTCTTTGGTTTCCTCTTCATATCCCTAAATTCAGTATTATTACTTGGTTAGCAATCCTTGATCGACTCCCTACTAGGGAAAGACTTCTACGAATGGGTATCACCAAATCTGGTTATTGTATCCTTTGCAATGATGCTCTTGAAACAATAAACCATTTATTTGCTTAATGTTCTATGGTGACTACTCTTTGGAATGGTATCTTAATGTTATCTCACTTGTCTTTACCTAATATGTCATGGGAAAGCAAACTTGTCTGGGCTTCCTCAACATGGAAAGGTAAATCTCTCCTAACCTCCATCATGAAAATTGCTTGGAGTACTTTCATTTACAAGGTTTGGGAGGAAAGGAATAGACGTATCTTCCAAAGAAAGTCTCGAACTGTTAAAGATTTGCTTGATTCAATTAAAGAGATAGTGGGTGCTCAACTTAGAAATAGAGAACTCAATAGACTTGATAATTTTAATATGCTTCTTTGTCGCTCTTGGAGTATAGGCTAATTATTTTTGTTGTGTATAGTTTTCTTTGTTCTTAGTATGGGATTTTGTATTGACTCGTATTTGGATAATAAAATTTTCTGCTTATCCAAAAAAAAAAAAATTGAACCAAAGACTTTTAAGAAGGAAAGGCTAACACTAAATAATTGAATCAACTTAAAATTTGATTAAAATTTTAACCTAAATCAACTACAACTGATATTAATTTAATTTATTTAATAATATATTTTATATTATTTAGAAAAAAATTATAAATATCATTTATAAAACTTTTATAAATATTATTTATAAGTCATTTTATAGAAAAATACTATTTATAATATAAATATATTGCCTTTAAATACAATTTTATAAATTGTGATCTTAAAATTCGTCCAAATAAAATTTCTAACTTTGATTTGAAGCGAAGGGGTGAAATTGGTATGTTTTGGACTCTTTCGGTTCGTGTAGCCCTTGTGGTGGCCCGTATGGCCCCTATGATGTGCAAGAGCTAGTGATGGAGGAGGTTTGGGTCCCCATCTAGTATCTGCCACCCTACCATTAAGCACTCTATTGATGAACTACGGATCTAGTGTAAACTGTGAGTGGCTTTGATGCGTTAAAATGGGAAAATTGCTATGTAGTTCCTTAAAAATCTTTTGAATTTATTAAATAAATAAAATACATTCTTACCTCAAAACATTTATGATTTTATTATGACCTCATTAAAAGAATTATAGATTCACATCTTACGAAAGGGTGAATATCCGATCAAGTCAAGTCAAATTTTTTTGAGTTATTTGAGTTTATAAAATTTGAGTCTAATCGAGTAGATTCGTTTGAGTTTCTATATAAATTTAATTGTAAATATTATAATATTCTGATACTAATCGATTATAATTTAAAAAGTTGCCTATAATCATATATGATATACATATATATTTATTCACAAGTGATATACATACATCATGCAGAGTTGAGGGGCTCGAACTTTAAAATCAATTCACTAATTACTAAAAAAATTGATTTATTCGAGTCCTATTTTATAATTTAACTGAAATTTAAAACTTTTTTCAGGGAGAATCGAATCAAAAAATTATTATTTTTAAATAAAATTTTGTTCACCCCTACATCTCACTGTAACACTCAACTACTACAACCTTGATCTTAATGATGGTTCCTTCTCTCAATTTTATTTTTGAAGAGCCTTAGTGCATATTCCTAAAATCTTATTATATATTTTAGAACTTAGGAATTATTAAGCTCGAGTATTTGGTTATTGATTGTGTGTAAAAATTTTCTCTTGAAAATGGGTACTTATGTATTAATATAGGGACGAAATTAAAATCAAATATCATAAGGGTTTAATTTGTTTAATTTCAAAAAAATAAGTATATAATAAAGATTTAAATTTAAAAATTAGAAGAATAAATTTTAATTTAATCAATATTTAAATATTAGGGACCTAAAATATCATTTGACGAAAATTTATGAGGTGGGCAAAAGTCCCTCATAAATATTACACGGTTTTATCCTTGTATCAATATGAGTTGATTTAGTTGATTGAGTATTTATTAATATTTTAATAAATTTAGAAATGGTTAATGACTTTATTTATTTTATTATAAAAATGGTTATATATATATAACTTGTTTCCTAAAGTCATCTCTCGCGCTCATCTCTACTCTATAACATTTATATCTTTACTCTAGAGATTAAACAATAATTCATCTCCAGCGTTATTTCTACATTTCCATCAACTCTACTTTATTTATAATATTTAATTATTATAATATTAATTTTGTAAATTTAAAAAAGCATAAAAAATATAAAAAATCAGAAAAATTACAAAAAAAAATAGTATGATTATTTATTTAATTTCAATGTATTTTTATTTATCTTATAATTTAATAAAAAAATAGATTTTTGTAGCGTCTACATGTAGCGTTGCAAACCCAGAGATCTTTAAAGTGGAGATGCATTTAGCTAGGGATGGCAAACGGACGGGTCGGGTGCAGATACCCTCTCCCCCATCCCCATACCCACCTAATATTTTTCAATCTACCAGTCGCCCACCACCCATGATGGGTACAAATTTTCAAATCCACACCCGCCCACGCGGGTACATTTTCAAATCCATCCCCACACCCACTACCCACTAGTAACATACCCATCTAGACTCGCCTGACAGCAAACTAATGGGATGTTGGAGTTGGTTCCCAGACAGTTCGTGATGGGGTAGCAGCGCATGCTTCAATTTGTCAGAGGAGTAGCTCTACGAATGTTATGGAGACATATTGTAGGGAGCATGTAGTCGCAGAGTTGGATTGTTAAGTTGCTTTCGATGTTAATGCTCATAGTGCGCCTAATATGAGTTTTGAAGGGCTAAACATGGAAACTGTTGCTTTTGATGTTAATGCTTATAGTACGGCTAATTTATGTTTGGATGGGCAATATGGGCTAAAGAACATGGAAAGTGACGTGGTTAGTGGAATTATGAGTTTAATCAAAGAGCCGAATATTTCCCTAATTAAAGACCATATTAAAGACTAAATATCCTTAATATTTGATTAAATTATATGTTATATATTATACAATATTAAAATTTATAAATTAGTCTCTAAAATTACACCTAAATTCATTATGGTCCAAAATTTAATAGATATTTAGATGGGCGGGCGGATGCGGGGCGAGTAATGTCTCAAACCCATTACCCGCCCACCACCCACGACGGGTACCACTTTATAAATCCACAACCGTCCACTACCCGCTAAAATTATATCCATCCCCGCTCCAATTAGAGTAGATGCGGTACGAAATCCACGAAACTGTACCCGTTTGCCATCCTACATTTAGCACAGCACTGGAACATCTATCGTGCATCTCTATTTTTATAGCGTTACTACAGTAGCACGACTCTAGCCCTATTTTCTTTTTTATTTTCTTATGTGTGTTGCTTTCTCCCTCATTAGTCTGTCCCACTCTTATAGTATATATATACGGTTTGGAAAAGAAGATGAGCTTTACGACTTCTACTAGGGGAGGTCTTTGACTTTTCTACGACTTCTACCAGGGGAGGTCTTTGACTTTTCTTCAATTCTATTATTATTACCGTATTAAAGATAAATGCTTAAACTCAATTTTGATAATTAATTTCATATTTAAATTTATGAATTTAACTTCAATGACCAATTTTGTATCTAAACTTTTTTATTACGAGACATTTAAATTTGATTTTTTTTGGTTGAAACTAGTACTTAAAATTGATTTTTTGTGTTTAAATGTATATTTATAAATTTTAATCAATCTAAATAAAAAATAAATTATGATAATTAATTTGACCAAAATTTTTACAGAGTTGGATCTGGTAATTAAGTTCAAACATCTAATCTGGTTAAAAAAATTAAATATATAATTAACTCAATTCTATTATTGCCCTTGCTTTTGAATAAAATAACGTTATCTTAATAAAAAAATATGGAATTATTTGTATTTACAATTTTAAAAAAAATAATATTATTTAATTAATTGATTGTATATAACTATATGAGAACTCAGCTTTAATATAGAGTTTTAGATCAGACTATATTGCAAGGTAAAATTAAAGACATTTCTATTATGGATGGTTGATGCATTTCATTTGCACATGTTACCCCATTCTCTCGGAGTTTCTTTTACAATACGATTTTTTTAGGTTTTTAAAATTGCATCACAACTTGATTATATTTAAACTCGATTTCAATCATATTTTTAAATAAAAATGAAAAAAAAAATTAATTATCATTTACTGTAACCATTTATATCTGATCTATTAATCGATCAATATAGACAGACATTATAAAAGTTTATTATAGTGACAAATTTTTCAAATCAATTTATTGTATTCACTAAATATAATGCTAAGATTCTAACATGTGAACTTATTTAAGGTGTCTAATGTTTTTTCTCCTTAAACCAACTGATAATTGATTATATTTCTTGTATTATTTTTTAACTTTTGATTCCATTAAATTCTTGATTTGAATTTGTTATACCTTCATAAACCTCCCACCTCCACCACATTGGATCCACCAACACTTCATCAACTATTGGTTTTCATATAGAACTCTCCGTTTATCGGAGCCCCTAAAAGTTCATGTCCTCCAAATACAAACTCGTAGTGAACTATAATATATGATAAGACCTATGATAGACTCACGTGACTTAATAGAACGGAATCTAAGGTCTGTCCACCAGAATTTTATAGTTTGATTAGTCTACAAATAATCATCATAATCATACAGTTGATATACCATTGTAAATATCGGTTAAACAATCGATTACCAACGAAATAATCTTATTATCACTAACCTAATTAATTGATGGATAGATGCCCTTTCCATCTATAATCTAAAATATAGGCTCTCTCACTTACCACAGTAATTGAATACAAATGGTAAATATTTAAATGGTACCCAACCACCCTAATACACCCATCCACCACGAAAATTGTGCCCTAATCCATCTCTTAAAGTCTACAATAGGGGCCTTTGAATTACTTGTTTCTGTGTTATTTTAACTTTAGAATTGTCCTTTTCGGATACCTATGGATGATTACTTTTTAATTAATAAACGTTTTGTTTAAACTTTTTGGTTTTCCGGAATAGTTTTAAATCTTTTGCATAATTGATTCAAGCGTAAATTAAAAGATATATTAATAATGTTGATTGAATTTAATTCAATTAATATCAGCACCTTTTATAGGGTGTATATAATTTAATTAATATATTTAAATATATAATATATTCCAATTTAAGTGCATGAAGGAGTTCAGATAATTTGGATAATATATAAAAAACCATATTAATAATTGTTTGTGGTTCGAGTTTATCACCAAACGTAAATTTGATTTAACTATATATACTATATATATATATGTATATTTATACCAATTTGCCTGGATATATTTTAAATATCAAAGTTATTATTTATATTTTATAACAATTGACTTTAATCGCATTCGACAAATTTATTAATGAATTCTAATAATTTACACAAGACATTGATTAAATTAAACGCATTGATGAATTCTAATAATTTTAAATTAAAAAAATATTATATATTTGTCAGCTACTGCGTGCACATTCTTTTACTCAAAGCGTCCCAGGACGTGCGACGATGACGGTTTTCTATGAAATAATAGGGGTGTTCATTTTTTTTAACTGAATTAACAGGCCGAATTAAATTAATTTGATTAATTCAATTGATTATCGAATTAGTTTGGTCAGAAAACAGTTAATATTTTTTTTAGAATCCGGTTGACAGTTAATTCAATTCAATTCAAAATAGGTTAATTAATCGAAATTAAATTTTAAATTTTAAATATATTATATATAACATATAGGCTCACCAAAACCATTTAAAACTCAATTAATAATTTAAGATTCAATAACTTTTAAACCTAAATCAATATTAATTAAAAATATCTAGAGATTATTTAAATTAATTTTAAATTGTTTTTTGAATTAAAAATTATTCAATTGTTATATAAATTAGAAAAATTTAAAAAAATCGGATAATTCGAAAATTGACTGAATTAACCAAAATTTATTCAGTTCGGTTAATAATTTTTAAATAAATTTTGGTTCGGTTAACGATTAAAGAAAAAAATTTGATTAATTCAGTTATGATTAATTTGATTCGATCGATGACTGAATTAACTGTTTGAATACCCCTATAAAATAATACCGCCCAAACGCAAATTACAAAATCAATTTTTGGTTTAATTTTATATTTCATCCTTCCACTTCTTTAAAAAAATAAAATTCTTTTACTTTAATTATCAAAATTTAACGTAAAAAGATAAATTTAGAATACATAAATAATCAATGATCATTTTATGTCTTTTAATACTCAATGTACTAAACAAAATATCACATAGGTACCTTTTATGTACATTAACCTAATTGTTACAATAAAAAGTCAGAAAAACTCTGTTAATGGCACCCTCGTAAATACATTAAAAAGCAAGCCCAATTTCGCAACAGTAATCTCCATAAAACGGAAAATACTCGTTAAAGCTTCACAAATCACAAAATCTGGACTTGGAGAGCAAATAAGATTGGGAATCAATTCCTTTGGGTTGTTTATCGGAGAATGGCGAACCAGTTGGAAAGCTTAGTGGCGACGATAAAATCGAAAGTGAGGGCGTTGAAGAAATCGAAGAAGAGTAGTAACAAGCCGTACATTAAGATGGACAAAAGCTCCAGCATCAAGGTGGAGATCCGTAGCAGGAAAGCACGACAGCTCATCGATCGAACTCTCGAGGCCGCCGATCGCCCCGGAAAACGTACCGTTTCATGAACCTCCTCTTCTTTTCCCCGTTATCTTCCGTAGATGCATTTTCATTTTCATTTTCATTTTCATTTTTAGAAATGTTTTAGGTTTTCTTCTTTTCTAGTTTTCTATCAATCTTATACGTCCTGATTTCCCAATACATGAATTCGATCAAATATAATATATCTTTTTATCTCTCATGTTCGTTTTTTTTTATCATATTTTTAAGAGAACTCATTATATGTTCAAGACAAAGTTAAAATAAAATATTAAGAATGATAATCTATTTAAGATCAAAATAATAGAAATTTATTGGATGTTTAATCTAAAATACTATTTGGCTAAAATTTTCTGAGACTCCGAGAGCAAGAGTCTCTCCCATGGTCTATTAACTTCTTCAATTTCATAATATAAAAATAAAATAAATCTTGCTTTAGTTCTACTATTTTATATGTTAACTTTTTATCTATTCTCAATCAAAATTTAATTAATAATATTTCTATACTTTAAATGATTTTTGTAATTATCTAAAGGTAAGGTAGATAAGTTCTTATTAAATTTGAATTGATTTGACCAAATTTTAAAAAAATCGACAGATCAAAACTCAGATTTTATTTGAAACAAATAAATCTTATTGAATTAAATTAAAAAATAGAATTTTTTTCTTGCATTTGAAAAATTATCCTTGAGATTATATTTCATTTATAATATATTAAAAAAAAACAAATTGTTTTTAAAATATTGGATAGGAAATGTCGTTGTGGGAATTGTTGACTTTGGCAATGTGTTTGACTTGGAGAATGCATCACAACCGTTAATTAAAGATGCAGTAGATACTAGATGGTCCAAGTCCAATATTATATAGTTGAGTAATGAATGCTGTTGAATGACAGTAGCTGTTTCCTTTCAATTTTTAGGTTTTAATTTGGTCAATATTAATTATTGTTCATCTCCTTCTGATCAGACGTTCGAGCAATTGGTCGAATTCTTAATAATTGATATTATTTTTTTATTATAATTTTGTGGAGAGATTATTTTATATTTATAATATAAAGAATATGTTTGAATAAAAAAAATCAATATGTTATATAAAATGAAAATAAGAAACTCGGACGTCGGGTGGATATTGTGGCTCGTGGCTCAACTCATGAACATGTAAAAATTAGCGGGTCGGAGATCCAACTCGAGAAAAGGGAGGGGCTGGTGGCCGTTGGTTAGCTTTTGGGTAATGCTGGGCTTTTGAAAAGAAAAGAACGCTACATAGCTCTATAAGAGAAACGTAGCCTACATGTTTAATGTCGACCATTTATTCATAACCGACGACATACAACTTAGATTATCGTGCCAAGGATTCCGAAAAGAGTTCGATCACGATTCCGATATATAAAACATCAGTCCCGGTCCGAATTACGTCGATCCTCGAGATCCTTAATCAAGGCAATAGCATTCTCATACGATGATCCACCTTCTTCAACAGCTTTCTTAGCTATCACTCCAATCTGTCTCGCTTTGTTTATCATCTCCACAGCCTCTTCTCCGCCATCCATCAACCGGTTCACCACCGCCTCCACCATGTCTCTCCCAACCGATGCCTGAGGCTCCATGGTCCACAAAAGCCAATCCAAACTCCCCACTTTGACACCAGTCTTCAACACATCAGTCACCAGCTTCTCGTTAAAGAACTGATCCGCAGACATCGGCCATGTGATCATCGGCACGCCGCAACACACGCATTCTAAAGTCGAATTCCACCAGCATTGCGTCATGAAACCGCCGACTGAGGATCAACAACTGCGGTGCCCATCCATTGATGATCAGACCCTGTTTCGATTCTTTCATCTTCTCTTCAAACTCACTAAAAAACTGAGTTCCTTCACCTTTGAACACGTCTGTAATTACCCAGATAAATAGTTGATTCGAAGCTTGTAGGCCATATGCGATTTCGAGTATCTGTTGTGGAGCTAAACGGGGAGAGCTTCCAAAGCTGATATAAAGAACAGAATTTGATGCTTTAGAATCAAGCCAACTGAGGATGCTTGTTTCATCAATGGCGGCCTTTTTGCCTCTCTCGGCTTTATCAGCAGTGTTCCTGTTGTACAGTGATACAGGTCCTACGATCCACGCTTTGTTCCGTTTCTTGAATTGTTCTACATAAGCTGGTTCCAGTTCGTAGAAGCTATTAACCACAACCCCATAGCAATTCTTCATAGATTTCCGCATATTATCTTCTACAAATGGAGATGCCGGAAGCTGAGGTCGAGTCAATTCGATCCGGTTGGGGAGATCGGGCACTACGAAAGGCTCGTATTTCGAATCGACCATCCAGTGAGACTTGAATTTCCATATATTTTCTCCGACACAGGTCGCAAAGCAGCCGTTTCCGCTGAACACAATCCTCGGGATATCCAATTCGAGCTTGTCAATAGCATCGGCAGCCCAATGGTGGAACATGTCTTGGACTATGCAGTCCGGTTTGCGTTGAAGTAACAGCTTTTCCAATGGTTCTTGGAGCATTGAAGTGTCGGTCACGGGACTCGCGGTCATGCCGGTGTCGGATATGTCAGTTTCGTCCGGTAATTGGAGGATTTCGATGAAGATCCGACGACCGGATTGTTGGTCACGGAGGATGGATTCTCGAAAGGAAAGAGAGCATGTTTAGGAGTCGAAACGACGACGGATTTGGCACCATGAGCTGCAAACATCCTGGCCATGTCGATCATGGGGATTTGATGGCCTCCTCCTACAAAGGGGAAGAAAAACATTTCAATCGGAGAGGATAACGAGTCCATCAGTTCAAAGAAAACGAGACACACCGAGTTGTATTTTAGTTTGGAGATGTATGTTACAATTAACTCGATTCGAAGCTAAATATAATCGGCGGTGCTGGTTTTTTCACAAGAAAGTGCAGCTATATACATCGGTATGGGCAAGCAATCTTGAATGTAGAGAAAGGTGTAGTCAGTGTTTACCAAAGTAGACATTATTCTACTATTTAAACTGTTTTAAGCCTTTTGGTACTCCATTGTTTGAACGGCATTATTCTACTGCCTGTTTTATAACGCTCCAATATATATATATATATATATATATATATATATTATTTATATCTTACTATTGATTAATTTAAATTAAATTTCATCAATATTAATTAAAAAATAACATATTTAACATAACTCTTTTATGTAAATAGAAGTCACTAGTTTTATTAAAAATAAAATAAAATTACAATGATGATTATAACTATAAGTGTAAACTAAACACATAATTAGAATATTTCCTATAATTATTGATATGAAGCTAGTCACTTAAGATCATATAAGAGTCATACAGTGAAAAAGTTAAAAAAAAAACATCCAAGAAAACTCAAACAAAATAAAAATGTGAATAGATATGATTGTATCGGCAAACGAGCCATGACATAGGATTAAGATATTGAAATACCACTGATAATCGCGAATCAAAGTTTAACGCAGTGAGAAAATTATCTCCGAACGCAAACTGCATATCTAAATTCATCCGATGGTCCAAAGCAGGGTAAATCAATAGGGTAATAAATATGTGTCATCTTAATACGTTGATGCCATGTTCAATCTAACTCTAAGAAAATTAAACGATGAGATTAGCTAAACAACTGTTAAAAAAGAATGAAACATATTAAAAAGCTGACGAAAACGTGTCATAAAGATAAAATTATTAGAAAGTAAAAAAGAGAAAATCACATATGCGATATAAAAAATAAAATAAAATAATAAATACTGACAGTCAGTGACCAATATCAAAACTGTTACCATCTAAGGACAAATGCATTTAGCCTGCTGAGGGGTCAAATACATACGCATTATTTTAGATAAATTTTAAATATAGTTTAATATATTAAGGAAATGAAAAAAATTAAAAAAAACTTGGGCAATACTTTATGATTTATGACTGCTTTTATTTAACCCAACTTTCTATATATCAATATTTAGATTATTAAATATTATTTAAAAGTTGTAATATTTCATCCTATTAAATAAATATGTACCTAATTGTATTATTATAGATATATAATCTCTACATACGCATTATTTTAGATAAATTTTTAAATATAGTTTAATATATTAAGGAAATGAAAAAAATAAAAAAAAAACTTGGGCAATACTTTATGATTTATGACTGCTTTTATTTAACCCAACTTTCTATATATCAATATTTAAATTATTAAATATTATTTAAAAGTTGTAATATTTCATCCTATTAAATAAATATGTACCTAATTGTATTATTATAGATATATAATCTCTACTCTCACGTTACGGAACTTCCTTTTTCCATTTACCACCTTTGTACGATTGGAAATGGCTGTCCCTTTTTTCATATGTATAGATAAGGGGAGGTAAGATAGTAGGTTACCCCCAACACCAGGTTGAGAACAGCTTCCGTAAGAGACCTCCAAATTATAAAATGTCCTCCATGGGACTCGATCTCACGACCTCAAGGTTAAGAACCTTGTGCTCTACCAACTGAGCTGGATGGTCATTTCTCTTTGTACGATGGGAAGTTGGGTGGAAATGGAATTCGAAAGAAAGGAAAAAATTGAGAAAATTTGCAATTTTATTGAAGTAAACCCAAATTACTTTTGTCAATATTTTTCATTTGTATCATTTCTATATTATATAATTGAATCAATTCAATTTTTTAATATTGATTAACTGTTGTGATGCTATGATCATCTTTACGGTACTGATATATATAATATTGACAAAATAGTTTGCGTATGAACGATGATATAACATCTATATTGAATTAATTGTTTTAGTTGATTTTGATAACATAATTTATTTTTTTAATTGAATTTGAGAGCGTAATTAATTTTATTTAAAACCTGAGAATTTATTTAATATTTAATTAATGTTATAAAATGATATACTATAAATATAAAAAAATCAAATTGTTGCTCATTAATATTTAATATAGAAAGTTAAATTGATTCTCACAAATATAAATTATTCATATTAACGATAGTAGTCGAAGATTTTTTTGATTAAAATAGTCAATTTTTTATATTTATAATTATCGATTTATTTTTTATTCTTTAATTTTGTAATATTTAATTGATATTTTGAATTCTCTATAGTGTTTTTGTATTTTTAATATGTTAATTGCTTTACATTTTATGATATTTTAAAAAATTTTAATTTTTTTAAAAAATTATGTCTTCAATTTTTCAATTAAAATTAATTATATCACCGAATTCAGTCAATAATCAATTCAGTACATTTACCATGTCAATATTCATATGTGGATTGGCACATCGGTATAGTGAGTCACCACACCAATATCATTAACTGTCACATCAACATTGTAACAATCAATGTCGATCAAAAGATAAGTTAATATAATGAAACAAATTTGAGAGTAGGGATGGCAACGGGCTGGGTATTGGTCCCCCCGTCCCTGTTTAAAAAACACATACATGTTCCCGCTTAAAAAATCGCGGGGATTTAAACGGGATCCCCATCGGATAATCGGGGAAAATCGTAGGGAAACGGGCCCCGTTTAGTATAAACGGTTATTTAAACGGGTATCGGGTCGGGTATATATATATTTAAATTAAATATATAAATATTATATATATATTTTTAATTTAATTTAAATTTATTAATATTATATATATATATAATAATTATTTTTAATATTTATCGGGCGGGGATTACCAAACCCGTCCCCATCCCCGTTTAGCATAAACGGTTTTCTCCGTTCCCGTTTAATTCGGTTTTCGATTTTCCCATCGGGTTCGGATTTTTTTACCATCCCTATTTGAGAACAATTTGATGTGATTAAAAAATATGTAAAAATTATTTATTTATGTTTATTTTACGGACAAAATGGCCCATTAAAGTCGCAATTAGAATGAATTTTGATGTTTGTGAATGAAGCAAACTGGACTGTGAAAGTCACCTCTATGATGGGTCTTTGTAAAATTCGATTCCGAAACAATCAATCAATAAATTGAATATCTATAGTTAAAAAAATATAATTATTATTATATAATATTTTAAATCATTTGATGCTTTCTTTGGATATAATGCACATATAACTTTGTCTAAAAAAGTATTTTAAATCATTTAATATATTATTGGTGTACTTACCATTTTTAGAACCATGAACTTTAAACTTGGCAAAATCTGAACCACCTAAAAACCAAACTTTTTTCCCTGTAATCACTATTATTATTATTATTAGTATTTATTATTATTATTATCTTATTAGTAATTATTATTATTAATTATTATTTTATTATATTATTATTATTGCTATTTGCAAAATATATATTTTAAACCCAATTACCATTCACAAATAAAGCCCAAGCTATATACTTATTTATTTTAATTTGTATTACAAACTAAATTAACCCATACAAAACCAAGCCCATTTGTTTACAAAGCCCACGTGGTTATTTTGGTAACCCTAGTTCCCCCTTCTCAGCTGCAGCCGCCCTTCATCTCCACCGTTGGATCTAACAAGGATTTAACGGTTGGAGTTAAACCCTAATGATAAAGGGTTTTCTTTCTTGTGTGTATGGGTGTTTCAAGAGCAAAATAGAAAGGGGAGAGATGAGGGGGTGCTTACCTCTCGGCCGTTTGGGTCCCTCGCCGAGGTGGGTAGCGTCGGAGCTCGCCGTGGGTTCGTGTAGGTGCCTTAGTCGTTTTGCATGTTGGTTGGGGGTTATATTTAGGGGTTAGAACTTGGAAAGGAGAGAACTTTAGGTCTCTTGGGAGCCCACCATTACTCAATTTTTACCATTTGTATATTTTAATTACACTTTAAAGTAAATAAAGTTATAATAAAGTGTATTTATTATTATATACTATATTAAATTATTTAATATATTATTGGATCAAAAGACAAAGTTAACTGGAAATTAAAATGGTGTAGGGTGAGAAATCTACATCCTTTTCAATAAGTAATCAATGCCCACCATTAACTCCACCTTTTCATTGATATAATCAAATATATAATTATATTAATTTTTTTATTATATATTTACGACAAATAACTTAATTAAATAGAGGTCCATGACCCTACCTACCCTTAAAGCGACCATGTCACTTCTCCTAATTGACCAACTTCTCTGCTAAAATATCCTTATGGATCCTCAAAAATACCGTATTTGATTCTTAATAATTTCGTGTTGATCATCATTAATTTTCATTGTTTTAATTGTGTATCATAAATCATATTTTAAATTATTTGATTATATTTTATGTAACGATAATATATAAATTTGTACATTGTAAGTGTAACACATTATATCACCTATTAAAAAATATGATAATAGTAAACATAAACGAATGATAATGAGGACCATAAGCAGCATATGATAGGCAATAAGTAAACCAAATTAAAAAATATATATCCCTAAAAGGAGCAAGTTCCATTATCAATTTAAAAAAAAAACAAGAATCTCATGTACGTCATATGCATACTTTTCCTTACTTATCATCGTAAGTCGCGGATCTACAAGTATTTGAGGGTAGATATGTATTTTATTTTAAAATTTGATATTTTTATTAGTTAATTATTTTACTGATTGTGTTCATCTTATAAACTTGTTTGTGCCTACTCCATTCAAAATTTTTATGTTATTAACATATTTGTGTCGACTCTTAAAAATATTTTTAGATTCACCATTGCTTATTGTTCCATCATCCGCTAGCAATTATATTCACGAACAAATTTATTTATAAACTCGTTTACCTGGTTCTCATTTTCATTTTATTCATTTTAGATTTTAAATATTGGTAAAAGTATGTACTAAATAGATCACAAAGTGAACTTAAGAGTTTAAAATGTGAAGCCTAATGATTAGTAGTGTAATTTCATCAATTTTGAAAACATATTTGCGAAAACTAAATCAACATGTAGGTGAACTTATAAAAGAATATTTTCATAAACAATAAAGGAACTTGTTCATGAACGCTAAACAAATCGAACATGAACACAATATTAAAATTTTAAATAAATACGAATCGAACGTTAACACCTTAAAAGAAAAACGAATACAAAGTCATCCTTATTCTTTCAAGCCAAGCTTATTTACACCTCTACAAGTTTTTATTGTTACGCTCAAATTAAACTATTTCTAATTTAGAATAAATTATACAATTCATCGTCGAACTTTCATAATTTTCATTTCGGTCACAAAAAATAAAAAAAATAAAATTTGGTCCCTATCATTAATCACCATTTGTATTTTAATCAGTCCTATAAGATTTCATCTTAATTTATTAATCACTTGCATTGAATTTTATTTTAATTATCTCTTTAAATTTTATAAACTTTGTCCTTATATCAGTCATTCACTTTAAATTTTAAGGTCAATTACGTATTTAGTCACATTTATTTTTGAATTTTCTTTAAGTTATCAAATTATATTTTTTAAAATCACACTTAATGTTATGTTTTTGTCGAATGCTAAAAAAGTAACGGTGATGTTAACATACAAAAATAAAATAATATCATATTATTATTGAAAAAAATAAAAAAAATACAACGTCAACTACTACGTTTATTTTTTAACTACAGATGATCAAAGAGTAACATTAAGAATGATTTAAAAAACAATTAAGTGACTAAACAAAATCATAATAATAAATGGACGACTAAATACATAGTTATAGTAAATTTTATTGTCACTATAAGTTAAATTAAGTGTACTAGAAATCTCCTGTGAACTTTTTTAAACCATAATTAGTACTTAATCCAACGGAGAAACAAACATCATCGACAACCACCACTGTTCCCAGTGTTTTAAACCACAGCCACGATCTCCGCCTCCACCACCACCTCTTCCTTTTATCTCCTCCAATAATATTACACCAATTGTTTCTTTCTTCTACTATTTCCTTTGTCTCCCAGTAAACCCCTTCGAGTTTCGTGTCTGGCTCGGCTCACAATTTCCTCCGTGATTCCTCTTCCTCTTCCCTTCAAAAACATCCCACCACAAAGAAATTTTTCTCAAAACCCAGAAGAAAAATGAAGAACGGCAACGCTAATACGAAGCTGATTCTTCTCCACCCATCGATCCACAAACCGGTCGCTTCCCCCCACCGTCTCTTCTTCCTCTTTTTGGTCACTTTCTTCACTTTAGCTTTCTCTCTAACCCTTTTCACCACAACCTCCATTTCCAGCCCCTCTACCCATTCTCTTTCCACCGCCGCCTCTTCCTCTTTACATCCGTCAGTCACCGCCGCGCTCCTCCACTATGCTTCCACCGTCAACGCCACCACCCACCACATGTCGTCTCCCGAACTTTCCCTCATTGCTTCTACTCTCCATAATTGCCCTTCCTCGCCTTGCCGTTTCCTCGTCTTTGGGATAACTCATGAACCACTCCTCTGGCACTCCCTCAACATCCACGGCCACACCGTTTTTCTCGACGAGAGCGAGTACTTGGTCTCGTCGTTCGAGCGCAGCTACCCCGAAATCGAAGCGTACGATGTTCAGTACACTACCAAAGTGAAGAAGATGTCGGATTTGTTGTCTTTGGCCAAATCCCACATCGGCGACGAGTGCAAGCCGGTGCAGAATCTCCTGTTTTCCGATTGTAAGCTGGCGATCAACGATATGCCGAACCATATTTACGATTTGAGCTGGGATGTAATCTTGATCGACGGTCCACGTGGCTACTTCCCAGATGCTCCGGGGAGGATGGCTCCGATTTTCACGGCGGCGGTGATGGCGAGGAGCAGGAAAAAAGGAGGGAAAACCCATGTTTTCGTGCATGAATTCGAGAGGGACGTTGAAAGCATTTTTAGCGACGAGTTTTTGTGCGACGAAAATTTGGTGGAAACCGTGGATTCTCTGGGACATTTTGTCCTTAAAACAGAACCCATTGACGGTAAGAAGCCTCAGTTTTGTAAAAATCCGATATCATCGTCGCCTTTATCTGCTTCATTATTATCCGGACAACGTGATGACTGAAAAACATTTCGATTACATTTGATTTTAATTTTGCAAATATTATCATTTGCACATCTCATAATATTTGTATAATATATAAATGTTTACAGATGTGATGAACTAGTTCTGTTTGCTATCTCAGAAAAGGTGGGAAAGATAAATGAAAATTATTAAATTTTAAAATTTGCTTCCTAATTTTGAAATGCAATCAGTGAGAAAAACAGTGGAAAGTAAAAGAAAAAATGAATCAAATTTGAAATTGTTTTAAAAAGTTTTTTTAATGACATGGTTTTGACTCATGAAGATAAATAATAAGTTTGGATATTTATAAATTATTTATTTATTGAAAACTTTATTAATATCTAAAGATTAAGTTACTAAATATTCATTTTATTTATGTTTTGGTTATTTAACTTAAAAAAATAATTTTCTCATCCAACTTTTGGAATATTTTTTTCACTCGACCTTTAGTGGTCTAAGTTTGCTTAAATTTTCAAGTAAATGTAGGGGGGGGGAGAATAGTCGTAGGCTTAACGTCGGTGGTGGCCGGTGGGAGGAATGAGGATAGCATTACTTGGGGGAAGATGTGGTGAGAAACCCGGATGAGAGATTAGCACAACCACATTGGGTACAAAATTTTAAGCTTTTTACGAATGTGGGGAGCGGTACGCGCAACAGGTTTGTATGGCCCGGCGACGCTTAAAACAATTGGCTGAGAGGCGCGTGCTGATAAGAATCTTACCGGAGCTTTTGCGGCTACTGACAGAATGCCATCGGATATGGGCTACGGCTTTATTCTTTTACCAGGGAGGTCACGTGGTTCACGTGATTAAAAGACGTAGGTTGCGGCAGAAGATTGAAAGCAAAAGCGGTGGTGTCGGTGTGTGGCAATAAAACATGGTTCATTACAAATTTATTGCAAGGTATACAAATGATGTATGATTATAGATTATTGTCAATTATTAAAGACTATAAAATGGTTCTTTGATCATAGAGTAATGTTTTGTTGAATAAAATGATTATTCTTACTATTTATATGTTCTAAATTCGTCATTTTCTATTTAAAAATCGACAGTATTGTGAGCGGACGTTAAACTACTAACTGTGATATGATAAAATATGATCCAAAAATCTCAAACGACTATTATATTCCAGTCAACAGGTTAACTTCAAGTTCAGACTGTCATCAAATTTTGAATTAAAAAAAGAAGAGTTTGAAACATATCAATAATTGGATGATTATTTTGTAACTTTTAATAATTGAGTGACTAAAAATCATATAGTCGAAAGACTATTTTATAACTTTTTATAATCAAAACACTGAACAAAATAACACCTTATAATTAGGGATCATTTGTATACTTTATCTTACAATTTATGTCATTTGTGTTATTCATACGAAATGTTCTATAACTAAATTATATTTAAAAAATAATTGTTCGATTGACTAAAGGATGCGGATGAATGTAGTCGTCTTTCTTAAAAATTTTAAATTAATATATATATGTATTTAAATAAAATTCATTTATTCATCTAAAAAAAATCTCAAGCACAAATAAACCAATCAAAAAATCAAAGAACAAAACAATCAACAAAAACAAATTTTAAAATTAAAAGCCCCAATCAGCAACTAAACTAGAATTAGAATTAGAAATCTTCCTACTTCCAACAAGCCTTAGACGAGTATCATTCTTAATCTGAGAAAAAAATAACATTGATCTGGCGTTCTTCACTCCCGTGATGCCTATTTTTCCTCTCCTGTCAAATATAGTAGTTAAGCGCACACCAAGCTAACTGAGTGATAGTAGCATGCAAAGACTCCTTTACAAACCTTTTGCAATCAATTAATTAAGTCCATCCAACCATTGTGAGATCTATCATGCCTGCAAGCTTGTAAAATCAACTGCCAAACTTGACAAGCATAACCGAGTGCTGGTATATGTTTTAAATATTTTATTTATATTTTTAATTAATAATATATATTTCACCTCCTATAATTTTATAAGTTCATCTCCTCCTAAAATCTTTAAAATTTAACCCCTAACATACAATCATACGTTCGTTCATGCCTAAACTTGTTCATTTCCTCTAACATATAAAAATCACACATGTACAACCAGGGGCGTGGTTGAGGGTGTACAAGGTGGGCGATCGCGCAGGGCCCTGAAATCGAGTATATCTATCAGTTGTTGCTATTAATAAGCATAAAAATAGGAGCCCCGAAATCGAGTATATCTATCAGTTGTTGCCATTAAGAAGCATAAAAATAGGGGCCCCGGAATCGAGTATATCTATCAGTTGTTGCCATTAAGAAGCATAAAAATAGGGGCCCGAAATCGAGTATATCTATCAGTTGTTGTCATTAAGAAGTATAAAAATAGGGGCCCTTTATAAGAATTTGCACAGGACCCCGACAACCTAACCACGACCCTGTGTACAACATGGCAAAAGGTTTTGTGCACGTCCCTGTATTATAGGGTTGATTATTTTTTTCTCTATAGTTAGAAAAGGTATAATTTTTTTTATTAAACTAAAGGCGATTTACAAAGTAGTATATATTCTAAATATTCTCAACCATTTGATAATAGACGCTCAACCACCTTTGTAGTTACTAGCGCTCAAACCCATAACCTCTTGGAACAATAACGATTCCTTTAACCACTGAGGTAAATTGGTTCGTGCAAAATAGAAAAACTCTTATACATTAGAAAATGAATAAAATGATATTTTATAACAGTTAAAAATATAACTATTTTTCTAAAATGTAGTGAAATTAGTTTAAAATATGACATAACATGATCAGGTGATATATTGTAGTGAAGGAGATATTCTACAAGTGGGAGGGGTCGTGGTGCCCAAGCCCACTTACATAATTTATTTTGTCTTTAAATTATATAATAAATTTATTCATTTTATGGGATAATTGTAAATTGTCCTGTAAACATTATAATATATATATATATATATATATATATATATTCTACAAGTTGGTATTCTGGTTTTGTCTCTAACTATAATGTATATTTTTTAATTAACTATGTATATTTATTATTATATTGAGTAATTCATAATTTATATAATATTTTCACTTATAATACAAATATTAAACTTTTGATTGAATTTAATGTAACAAATTAATAATATTTTCATTTATAATACAGACACTAACATGAAGTAGAGAACGAAATAAAAAAAAATATTAATATTTTAACTCTAGGTCTAGTAGGATGACATGTTAAGTAAAATAAAGAATTTAAATTTTAATATTATAAACACAGTAAATCGAATTAAGAAAATCGTTTCTATGATATAAATGTAATATCATAGATAGAGAGAGAGAGGACAATAAAGATAAAAAATTTATGTCGAAGGGTCGAATCATAAGAAAGAATTGAATATAAATTTTGAGTTTTGAAATAATTCTTTTACAATTATTAGGTAATAAAAATATTAATATTAAGACACATTATAAGGAAACAGATGAATATTTGATGTATTAATGATATATAAATTTATAATTATCAATAAAATATATAACAACACATCATAAAAATTTTATAATAAACATATAAAACTATACAATATCAATATATCAAAATAATATATAAATAGGGATGAGCATTTTATCTGGATTCAACAGATTTTGTCTCGACTCTATTGGCAGGGGCAAAGCTCTGTTGGGGCCCCGACTCCTGTTAAAATTTTAGTATATTTGATATAATTTTGGTCTAATAGTATTTTGGTTCATGTAAAAATAAATATTTAAAATAAAAAATATAAGAATTTATTAAATATTTAATTGAGTAGAGACCAAACTTCATCTTCTCAAATTTTTGGTCTAGTAACAATTTAAGTCTTTATATAAATTTAAATATTATACAAATTAGACGTTGTCTTGTGAATTTTGAGTTTATATATATATAAATATGTTGTGAATACAAGGTACTATATGTAAAAAAACTCAATCATTTTACAATAAACGCTCATACCCTTACATATGCAATGCTCAAACGCGAGACCTCAACGATAACAATAATCCCTTAATCACTAAAGTCGTTTGGTTCGTATTGAATTTTGAGTATGAAATATACCTAATAAGTAATTTTATTTTTTTTAAATAGTTCTGACCCCTGTTAATATTTAATTTTGGCTCTGTCGCTGTCTATTGGTCAGGTTTTTTCTTGAGAATCTTGATTTGATTCGGTTCAGGTAGAATTCAAATTTAGGATGAAAAATACTCTAACAAACTCAAAAATAATAATATATTTGACATTTATATATTTTAGGATAATTCCTATAATATACACATCTTTATATATTTTTCGATTAAATTTCTATTTTATCTAATAAACCTAAATTAGGTTGAGTGACTACTGAAGAAGTATTATACTCGAGTCGAATTTAAGTGGATGAAAAACCTTATCTGACTCACTATTTTATGTATATAAGAACAAGCAACGAGAGTGCTTCCAAGTTCCAATAGCCAAAATCATAACAGCCGTACATGGTGGCAGCTTATTCAGCATTCCCGAACTACATACGGTTACACTTACATCCACGTTTGTCTTAAATTTTTTAAAATCCAACTTTGATAATAAACATTGTTAGATCAAAAACAATTACGATCTGTAAATATAAACCCTTAAAATTTGTGTCTGGAAAGAGTTTTGTAAGTAACCGGAGCTTTCTTGTTCTTGGTCATCGTCTTGGTTTTGGTCCCTTCCAAATGATGGTGCCATGAAGGATTATCCCTGCAAGGAATGTGTCATAACCATTTTTTAAGTAAAACAATTAAATATTATTTTAAAAAACGATTATGACTTTAATTTGAAAATTTTGGTGATTTGGAATTAATTTGGAACTAATTGAATGAGAGTCGCCATCGACCTTTGAGCTAGGTAGGTCGAATACCCAAAAACGTCTTTAAAACAATTTTAAGAAAAATCATTTTTTAAGACAAAATTCGGTCTGCGTTACCGAAGATTCATTTAAATGGATTCGGGAGTCGGTTACGTGCGGGG